TGGGAAGTGGATGTGTGTAAGAAGCACTTTCAAATTGTAACTTCTTTTTAAGAAAAGAAATCCCCAAACACCAGTTTTTATTCCAAAAATAAAGAGAACGAACCCAGAAAAAAGTGATTATAACATGGAGCTTTTTTCCCCCTGATCCTGTAGTACAGCTCCAAAAGGTTGTGTGGGATTTGTGTTATATGAATAACCATATAAATTCTGCAGGAAACACCAAGAAACGTGTAGAGATTTGTGGTGATGGACCAAAGAAGGATCCCGGAAGGCCTCAGATTTCCTTGGTCTTTGTAGGAGATCGGACTGTGCATTGTATAGAGTGACTGGGTTTCAACTAGTCGAAAAGCACTTTCTTCTGTTTGTGAGCCTCTTTCAATTTGTGCTTCTGTGCATGGAGAAGAGATGCCCAGGGTCTCAGCCATCATGAAGGTGGAAGGCATGTAGCCTCAGGCTGACTTTCTCGTTGTGAAGGTCACAAAGAAAATGTACAACTATCGTCTCAGTAAGGGTGTGGCTACCAAGACATACCTGTTGTGCCCATGCACTCGCCCTGTGTATTTATACTGTACATGTAGATCCTAGATTTATATACTGCAATGTAAAAAAAATATATTTACCTTTTTTAAAAAGACAATGGAAATTCCAAGTAGATAAAACATGGCCTCATTTATTTAATGCCACTTTACTTGTCTTAGATTTGCTTCTTGATGACAGCCGGGCAGTGTTTCCAGCTGTTTGCATGCTTGTCTTTCTGCAACCCCATCATCTGTTTACCCTTTGGTTAAACTAATAAACTGGTTTGGGACTTGGACGGCATGTGCTGCCAGACCCAAAGGGACTGCATCCAGAGTGTTCATCAGGTGGGCTCTGGGTTCCAAATAGGTCAGTAAGCCTTTCAGGAGCCCCCTTGGGATCAGGTGGAAGGAGCAGCAGGAAAACCAGCAGCAGAGTTGGAGAGGATGGTCCCCACCAGCAAGGGTCCTGAGCATTTAGGGGAAGAATGATGACTCAGGGAATTCCAGCCAGAGATGATGCCTTGCTAGGGTGCTATTCTTAAGACTCATGCAGTGAGGCTGCCTCTTATGAAATCCAACTCTGAGGAGCTGAGATAGTGGTACTCTGCCTTCTTTCTGAGCACTGTTCCCCTGTTTGGCAACAGCTGCCCACTGGATCATCTTGAAACCTTCCATGGTTCTCCAGAAGCCACTAAGGGAGGAAAAGTCTTCCCAAGAGGCATTCAGGCTGAATCTGACCTTACTCAACACATAGCATTGTCTTTTTTCATATTGTTTCCAAAAGTTACCCAAAATTATTTTCTGATGGATTACTAAATATTTTGGGGATGCTTATGGAAATTTAGAGGAGAGAAGTAGGCATTTTAATGCAAATTAACACGGTGGGCTGGGGCAGGAAAGGGATTTTTATCCTCTGCCAATAGGTCACTGTTTTTTCAAGACCACTCTAGAACACCATTTCCCTTGTTTTGTCTCTATCCAGAAATTTGGCTCGGTGACTTTTGCCTGAAGTAGTAATGTATTTAGACTTCCTTCTTTGGAGCATTTGCACATTCTTCATGCAGCACAAGACCATCAGGAAGCAAATAGTGTTGTTGATGTGTCCCAGCTTCCGTGGCATTGAGAAGTTCCTGATGACAACGCTCTTCTACAGATGCCTACAGTTCTCATATTGTGTTTTCCATCCATTTCCCCTAGAATCTCTCTTCAAGTAAATACCTCTGGAAGGGATGTATTAGGTTAGGCTAGACTAGATTGAAGTAACAAACCGAGTCATTTAAATGAGGTTTTATTTTTCATTAAAGTACCAGTGTCCTGTAATGTCAGGCAAGTCTCCCCAGTGGCTTTCCTCCAACAGTGGCTCAAGGATCTAGCCGGCTTTCATCGTGCAACTCTGCCACCTCCACTTTTTCTTACAAGTTACAGGGATGGTACGGAGAGCATGAAGTCACAACTGTTCCGCCCATCTTAGACTAAAGTGACCTGTACCTCCATTCACAGTCCATCGGCCAGCATGTGACCCCAGTGTGAGTTCAGGGGCGATGGGAAATTTAGAGCATTTGGGTTCCTGGCGTGTAGGGGGAGACGAGTGAACAAAAGGAGGAGGGGAGAGGAGATAGAAACAAAAGAGAAGCAAGGTAGAAAGAGGAATGAAGAACTGTGGGAAAAAAGTTTCAAAATGGGAGCATCCCAAATGAGACTATTAGCTTTGCCAAGACATCTATTTTTAATTCATGTTTGTATGGTGTCTAGTAGCCAGCCCCTCCCCCAACAATGTTAAAATGCAGGATTTGCAGTATGCTCAGCTGACCGATCAATATATAAGACTGTATAGATGGGAAGTCCACAGGGGTTGCAGCTATAAACTCCTGTATTATTAAGCAGGCTGTGTATAGACGGGTGTGGGGGAGGTGGGAGAAAAAGAGATTAGCTGTTAGAGAACAAGAAATGAAACATTTGTTGGCCAGAAGCGTTGAAGTGGCTTCAGTTTTGACATGGGTGGATTCTTACTGCCTTGGACTCAACTCCTAGGCCACTTACTACTTTAGGCAAGTTCTATGACTTAGCTGTTTCTTTATCTGAAAAGTAGGGATTACTAGTAGTTTCTACCTCTTGTGGTTCATGTAGTATTAAATGACAGCATCTATAGATAAAGCACTTTTGGGGGGCTAGGGAAGTCGTGTCCTCAAGTCCCTGACCTCCCCGCCTGGGTAAGCAACCCATTGGTCCAGATGTGTGTTGTGAAACAGAGGTAAGGCTTCCACATGTGGAACTGCAGCACCCTGGGAAAGTCTCAGCCTGCTGCTGGTTTGGGGAAAGACTGACGCATGGAGTTGGAGAGCGGCCAGGGCTCCTGCAGCTTGCTCTACTGCGAGGTCCAGAGCAGTTTCTGGAGACAGGCGTGGGGGCCCACACAGTCTCCCTGGCTGGGCTGTGGGCTGTGCAGTGTAGACCAGTTTTTATGCAAGAACAGCCAAAGCGAAGCTACCGGGAGCTACAGCATCTCTCTCAGAGGCAGAGGGATGTAGTGATTCTGAGCAGGGCTCACCTTCCTGAATGCCCTCTCACCGGAACCTGTAGGAATGCTGGGGCCTCCCGCCTCTGCCTCTGCCTCTTTCCTGCAGGATAGGGCTCTCCGCCCAAGTCCCAATCTGAGAGAGCTCAGAGGCACAGGCGTGTGTTGCTAACCCATGGGCTTTGGGGTATTGGGCACACACTGTTCCTTTGCAGGCTGCTTGCTGAACCCCACCTCAGCCTTTCTCCGATGCTGCAAGGTTAAAGCCTTTCTCACGTTAAGAACCAGGCTGTCTCCATTCTAGTTTAAGCCTCCTTCCCACCGCTCTTCCCATCTGTTCCATCTCCTCCTTTTGGCCTGTGAGCCTGCATTACTTTCTCCAGCAACTGGCCTGGATCTCTCTCTTCTCCCGTTCCCTGCACTTCCCTCCTCGATTTAGTTCTGGGCAGCAGACCTTTGCTCTGTGTGTGCTGCTCTGGAAGCTGCCACTGTCCTCGCCTCTCAAATCCCAAAGGTGCGAGTTCTCTCTCCTTACACAGGTCTGCACAAACCTTCCCCCATACACCTTCAGTCACCGCCATTCCCTTCGAGTTTTTTTAGTTCATACTGGCATTTTTAGAAAGCAGCTAAAACTGTTCAGATCACACTGTCAACTCTTGGAAAACTCAACTCCCACTTGAGAGTCAGCTTCAGACTTTTCATGCCCTTCTGATAGAGGATCTGTACAAGGTCACTGACTGTTTTCTAAGCTTCTCTGTAGAACAGAGGGTTGCTCACTCCACCCTGAGAATCAAGTTCCCCTAAGGCTAAGAGTCTGGGCAAGGCCCAGAGCAGCCCTCTGGACCCACAGGGGCTTTGAAGCAGGCACTCTGCAAGCCCGGGTTGCTCTGACCTGGCAATTTTATTAAAATGCCCATTGCAGAAGAAGCCAAGCTGAGGACGCTAAAGGGAAGAGCATAAAAATAAACACAGTAAGTGAGAAAAGAAGAGAAACCAATTTGCAGAGACAGTTCTTCATTCTTTCCATCCCGTCCACAGCAGATGGGAGGATGGCTTTGTGCTGGGAGCATGGCACAGCTGGTGTGGCAAGAACAACCCAAGCAAAGATCATCTCAAATACTAACATCTACAGGAGAAAGCAAAGCAAAACACAATAAAATAAAAACATAAAGCCACTTTAAACTCTCAGAGCAGAAAGGGGGCTGTTCTCTTGCTCAATGACAAATTTGAATGGAGCCACCCTTGGGGTTCAATTCCATGTCTAATAATTCTGTCAATACATTCTTCCTGAGGACTCATCTAAATTCCTCTTGCTGTAAGAGGAGGTACTATTTTCCACGTAATTTTTTTTCCAATACTGGGGATTGAACCCAGAGCCCTGACGCTGAGCTATGTCCCAACCTCTTTTTAAATTTTTTTTATTCTGAAACAGGCTGGGCTCAAACTTAGGATTCTCCTGACTCAGCCTCCCAGAGTGCTAGCATAGCAAGCTCACTGCAGCACACTCAGCTCCATGTAATCGCCTGTAACATAACATACTAAAACTTACAATCATTTGCTTCTCTTTTCCAAGTAGGCAAACAGAAAAGCTCAGCCAGAGATGTTGTCCTTGTCTCAGCTGCCCTGCAGTGCCACGGCAGGTCCCAGGGGACCCTCTCCATCCACAGCCCTTCCAGCTCGCCTCCCTCCACACGAATCACATCTCTGTTCTGCTCAGGTTCTCTGAAGCAGCAAACATCACTACAAAGCATAACCTGGGTGCACTGATAATTTCCAAGGCTGCTTCCTCTTAGTTGTTTGAGCATGTCACTCATGTCTTCTCAAGTTATCACCCTCGTTTTAACTTCACATTGTCATTAAACTCCTTAATAAGTTAATTTGTTGTCAGTTACAGAGTCATTTCTGATCATTTCTTTCCCCTTCCTTCTAGCCGGAGAGAATGTCCCAAACACACACTGTAAAAAGCCTCCTATAAAAAGTTGTCTTTATTTTAGAGTCACCAGTTGGAGGGATTTGTTCTGATCACAAATGAAAAACTGGGGGGCTGGGGATTTAGCTCAGCGGTACAGTGCCTGCCTGGCAAGCGTGACGTCGTGAGTTCGATTCCTGGCACCAGAAAAAAAAAAAAGAAAGAAAGAAACAAATGAAAAACTGTAAGATTTCTAAGTTTGCATCTAAATGAGAGTCTTTGTTTTTGATATCACATGATAGAGAACTTCTGTGTTGTTTTTTTAGGAAAGTAACCAAATCTAGAATTCCTCCAGGAACAATGGCCAGTGTATTTTAGGATCAACCCACAGAGAGAAGGTAGCCAACTTATCTTGACATCTTTATCTAGTCTCTCTTGTTTCTCGTCACTGATCCCAAAATGTCCAGAGCTCTTGCCTCCTCCTGAGTCCCCCGTCACTTCCAGATAGATCTTTGCACAATCGTCCCTTCTCTAAGCCGGAAAAGCTTCCCTACCCGCCACGCCCAGCTGTTCTGCACTGTCGGGCTTCCCACACCTCCAGTCTAGTGCAAATCCAGAAATCCCAGCAGTGTTGGCCAATAAGTGGTGTTTGAATAACCCATGACCAATCATAACTTTGAGCTAAGATTTTTTAAATTTTTTACAAAGAGCTCCAAAAGGCAAATACTTTATCAGTTTTACACCCTGAAATAGCACAGCAAGATGGACAAAGCAGGGTGTGGGACAGCAGTTCCTGATCTCCAGGATTCCTGCAGGACACCCAAGGAACCCAAAGCAAGGCCCATGCAGCCGGTCCTCTGCAAACTTTAGGTGCTCAGGCCACGCACAAGGGCACCAGAACTGCTGAAGTCAGACTTCTCTGTCCAGAAGATCCCTCCCTGGGTCCTGAGGGGACTCCAGAAGGGTTTAACCTCGGAGGCAGAGAGGACAGGTGTCAGGACTAGGAGCAGGCAAAGACTGTACTGATGGCCCTGTGTGGAATTGCACGGGTCCAATGTCTTAGTTTAAGACCACAAGGGAGGCAGCACAAATAAAAAGGTCAGAGAACCTCTGGCTTGCTGAAGAGATGGTTTTGTAAAGGAAATACTAGCTCTGCAGTTTACAAAGTTCACAAGAAAAGAACATTTCTTGGGATGCAGACCTGAGTAGGGAAGAGCAAAGCATGGGCTGACAGAATCAGAGCTTTATTCACAGTAGAACAATCCTAGCCTAAAACTCCAGAATTTAAATCCATTGTATTTAAGGAATGAAAATTCTTAAACTCGTCAGACCAGCTGACGGGGGCGGGGGAGGGAAAAAGTTCTCTACTAAACAAAACAATACAAAAATCAACTCAATCTTCCTCTACTTCCAACACCCAGCCACTTATCACCCCATTAAAAATAATTAAAACCAAGCACACTTGCACACACTCAAATATGCGGACAAAATACCAAATACCCAAGGAAACCTTAGGAACCGCGTAAGGACTTTTTCACGAGCTTCCCAGGTGCTCTTCCTGTTTTTCTAGAAGAGTTAAGCTCTGGCAGTTCTGTCCAAGCAGTAAAAATGCGCCTTTCCTCAACCTCCTGGCTTATTAGTCAGTGGAGAAGAATATCAACAATAAATCAGGAGAGAAGGTGATGGTTGAGATGGACCATCATGAGATATCTTAGGATGCCAGATAGTGGATCTGGATGTGATCACACAGTCCAACCCTGAACTTTACTTAAAACCAGTCTATGAATAAAGCAGAAAGGAATTTCAGGGGACATCTTTTGAGAAATGGTGTCTGCCTAGGATTGTGGCTCCAAAAGTCTGTTTCCCTGATTGTTGGCCTAACCGTGTGATCTAGTCCATCATTTCTGGCCAAAGTTTCTCTCCTTAAGTGCAAGATAATTTGTTTTCAGATGGTTAAGATCCCCAGACAGGCCTCCTTGCAAGAGCCAGGCTGGGAAATTCAGGAGACTCAGATGGTGGAACAAATGTGTTGACACGGGCCCCTCCCTGGGGTGCGACGAAAGCTTGCAACATCTGTTTCTCTGCCTCACCCTACCAACAATGCTTCCCCCACATTTTGTAAAATAAATAATTTGACATATAATGAACCACCAGGGAAGGGCAGTTGCTGACCTGAAAATGTGCTCTGTCTATTAACAGTAACTCATAAAACTCCCACCTGCAGTTTGTCCCCAGGCTAAGGGATGGAGCGGAGGGTGTGGGGTGCTATGGCAGCACATGAACCCCAGGACAGGGCAGGACTCCCCGCTGCCCTAGCCCTGTATATATTATATTTATCTTTATAAATACAGCATCCTGGCTCAAGAGGCCACAATGAAAAAGGCCAAAGTTCTTTTTCCCCTCAAATATCTATAAAAGCCCCTCAGTATTTACCTACCATATTACAGTCACATGGGAAACTGGACACGTCTTTATGAGAGCCCAGTTGCCACGATGGTCAAGGGCCATGTCTCGGCCGGACCCGATTACCATCTCTGTTGGGCAATGGGGCTAACAATTAAAAAATCCACTTCACAATAAGGCTCACGACAGAATTCCTTTAAATAAAAAGCCCCATTAATGTAAATTTAAATGGTTGGATTATCTCACTCAAAAAAACCCTTGTTATGCGCACAAGTTTTCAAGGTCACATAAAATGAATCAACTAGACCAATGAATGTAACCTAGTTGGCTTGGAGTTTTAAAGTCACATCTGTCACATTAAACAGACAACCCAGACCAATAAATGTGGTCCGGTTAACTTGGCTGCTTTGACTATCCACTGACTGATGTGACAGCTTGGTGAATCTGTCTCTTGGACAAGATTCTGAGCCATGTTGCTACCCTAATTTGGGCAGCGTTATTGGGTGGCCAGTGAGCCGAAGAATTGGGTTATGTGGACTGAAGTTTAACTTACCAGTCCCATAAGGCCTATCTTTTAGCTATAGTAGAAAATTTGAGTTTAGTTTCTCTACCCCCATCCCCTGTCAAAAATACATTAATTTAATCAGTCGGGTCAGACCACTTTGGTCGGATGATTGTGACCACTCTAAAACCTGGAGCAAACAGATGAACAGCTCTTTAGAAACCCCAAGCAGTGGCGAACCAGTCTCAGGAAGCCGTTAGAGCTCGTCCTTTGAGGGCCCAGTGTCCAGGGAAGTTGGTGATGGCAGTGCCTCTGTATTCTTGGCATTGCTGTGGATGTGACCTTGCTTCCGTGACTTCCAGGAATGTGTCCGGTCCCAGTCAGTTGCCACTGTCTCGTTGTCCCAGATGGTCGAGGTCTCCGTATCACTCAAGTAGCCTGGCTGGCCTGTGTAGTGCGTGGGGTAGATGAGCAAGGGTTCTGCAGAGAAGGCTTTCAAGTCTCTGGATTCATAATACTCTTTGTACTCGGCTCTGAAAACAAGAGGGACACAAGCGCATGAGGGGCGGAAGCCTTAGGGAATGGGTGAAAAGAGCAGAGGGGCCCCGCTTGTCGTCTCTGAAATGACTGTGGACTCATTTCCTTATTTTTTAAGTGGTGTCCTTTGTGACAAATTTTAGGCTACAAACACCATTAACCTTTGTTTAAATCTTTCAGAAGATCTATACAAACAAGTAAAAGGCCAGGCTATTTCTGGTGCATTTGGATAGAATACTTTAACGGTTCAATTGAGCTTACGGTAGAAGAGAAAATTAAACTCTGTTGCACCATAATGATAAATAAACATGAACATTCTACAAAAAGCGCCTTGTTCCTGGGTTAATAAATGAAGACATCTGAGATCTGGACAGCAGCGGTGGGCTGAGTGACATGGTGAGGGCTTGGAGGGATGCCAGCGGGGCTGTGCATTCCGGTCCCCGGCTCAGTGCTCTGGCTCCCTGAATGTGTGAGGTAGAGGGATAACTTGGCTCCCCTCCCAGGGCTCCTGTGCTGGTTACACGAGGTGACATGTGTCCTTTCCTTGGTCTGTGAGTGAAGTAAATATTAATTAAATAGGTATTAATTTCTCTTTAGTCTTGGAGACAATGGTTTGTTTGACCTCCAGGTCTCTGCTAGAGTACTGAGGTAAAGTCACTGTCTGATATGTTGCATATAAGACAGTAAGAAGCTCTATTTTTACAGAGGACAGGAGACAAATGAGAAAAAGACAGCACAGGAAATCTCAATGGCTAAAATGAAGGCCATCTAATTATACATCATCCAGCAATAGAGAGAGGATCCTGGTTTCCCGCTCTATTCCTGAATCTAGGAATCATTGGTGGAACAGCTATTATGTGTAGTATTTGCACTAAGCTCTAAGGATACACAGATATGAGACTGCTCCTGCCTCAAAGGGCTCACAGCTTATTGAGGAGACTGCCACACACAGCCATCCATTACCACATCTCTTGATAAATGCTAGGCCAGTGTAAGCTCCTATTAGATTCTGAGCTTCACAGTGCCTGCTTTCACAGACACTCTGCCCAAGTGCCACCTATAAACCCCTGAACTTGTCATGTATCTCTGTGACTGCAGGTATCACAATATAGCACAATGATGTCAGTATTCCCAACCAGATCCTGAGCTCTGCAAGGGTGATTACCACTGCCAAGACAACAGTGCATCAGAATTGGGTTGAAAGAACTGAAAATTTTGGAATGCATATGAGAATGATGTTCACCTTATGGTGTGTGAAGTTACGTAAGTAAGGAGCAAAGACAGGAGGAAATCTGAGCAGAGTATGTCCCACATACTGAGTAGTAAAGAAAACCACTGACAAGACTCTCACCATCTCTGCTTTGTTTTCCCCATCTGTTAAAGGGAATAATCACTTGAAGAAGCCTCTCTTGGTTACAATTAGGAAAGTGGCACAATTTTGGAAAAAATACAGTACTACCCAGGAAGCATAACTCATGAACAGGCTTTGCTCAGGTGACAGGTGGGCAGTTGAAGGAGACTCACACAGGATGCTTGTTGTACATGATTGGCAGAAACTCATCCACAGGCAGCATCTTCCCAAAAGGATTAGCTCCAACTAGCTTCTGTGCTCCTTCCAGAGAGATGGCATAGCCCAAGGTCCAATAGGAATAGTCAGCTTCAACCAGATTTACTACATTGGGTACCGCTTTCTCTGGCTCTTTGACTTGCATCCTCTTCCTACCAATGTAACTACAGGGAAATAGGTGGAGAAGAAAAATTCCAACTTGAATATTAGTCATTCATGAGAATAAAGCAGAGTTTTGGTTTATACAGACATCTTTGAAAGTGTGGATTCATTGTGTCTTGTGTTAAATTATCACACTACAAAGCACATGAAATCATTCACCATGGCTGTCATTTGCCACTTAACACTCCAAGTAGGTGACTGTGTGTCTGTGTTTGAGCCAGAAAGTTAAGATGTAAAGGGATTAAAAGAACTGCGTCTTTTGTAAAGGTGGCATGGGATTTCCAGCTGTGTTTACAGAGGTTGGAAAGAAACAAAAAAAGGACAGATGTGGGAATCCTGAGTATGCTGTCTTCACATCCCCAGAGTTTTAATCTTGGATGTTTTCTGCATAGCTCTCCAAATGGTGGAGGTAAACACGGGACAGAAAAAGCTGAGGGAAAGAAACAGTTTGCACAAGACGACCTAGAAACTCAAGAGCAGCCTGAAATTGTTGCTTCTGGGAATTAGGGATGGCAGCTCCTGAAAGGCTTTTCTTCCCTGGTGCTTGTCTAGCTTTACCCAGCTTTCTCCCAGGCATTCTGTTGTGAGGAGGGTGTCTAGGCCTGCCTCATCCTTCATGAACAACTTCTAGCCCACAAGGTGTACCTTTGTCCATTTCTACCTAGCCAGTCTACTCCCAGCTCTGTGATCCATTACTTTTGTCTGGAACCTGTTCAGCTGGGGCTTGGCCTACCGGAGCAAGTTGAGGAGTTTCCTGACTGCTGGTAAAGCAGTACTTCCTCTATTTTGTGCTAAAAAGTCTCTTTCAATATTCAAGGGATTCTCCCTAGTCAATGCATACCAGGATTTGTAGATGTCTAGATGCCATCTTCATTTCTTCTGAGGACATGAAATAATGTCCTCTCAGCTAGTGCCTTCTCATTATAGAGTCTGAATTTCTCTAGAGCCTCACTTCATAGATGAGAGATTTCAACTGAACCCTTGAAATGTGGTTAGAGGAGCTGAGTTTATACTCTTACTGATTTAAATTATTTAAATTTAAAAGTTGAAGTTTTGTAAAATTTTTTTTTTTTTTTTTTTACTTTCTGTGAAATAAGTTTTTTTTTTTTTTGGTACCGGGAATCCAACTCAGGGCCTTGTGCTTACCAGGCAGGCACTGTGCCACTGAGCTATCTTCTCAGCTCGAAACAAGTTTATTATTCGGTAGGACTACCATTTAACAGATGGAAGTTTATGTTCTGGATTGATATGTGTAAATACACACACAGGAGTTTGAAACTTGGAACAAAAAAACCCCATTAATGATTTTAAAATACAAATTACATGCTAAAATAATAATACTTGGATATATTGGGTTAAATAAAATATATTATTAAAACGTATTTCACCTAAATTTTTTTTACCTTTTTGATGTGATTACAAGAAAATTAAAAACAACGTATGTGGCTCACATTATATTTCTACTGAAGAGCACTCCCTAGATGATTTCAGTTCTGTTATTTCCATTTACTATTTCCTTTTTCCAAGAAAATTTAATGTAGCAATCATGGACAGGTTATTAGTTTTCATGTTTTGGGTTTAAGTAACATTTGTTTCTTCTTTTAGAAAGTGGAAGGTAAAAGTTGAAACTGCTATCCAGGAAATCCCCGACTTACGAATGAGTCCCATCCCAGGAGAATGTTCCCAGGTCGGATTTGTTCATAAGTAAAATGGTGATACAGTACAGTACAACAACTATAAATATAAATTATTTTCACTTTTACAGTAAACACAGAGCAACACAATTGTGACAAAGTCCCACAGACCTGTGAGTTATTTCCGCTATTGGTTTGCATCTGTGAATGTTCATTCGTAATGCAAGGTCTGTTTGTCTTTGTGAAAGTTCGCAGCTTAAATGTTCGTAAGTTGGGGATTTACTGTAGTTGTTTGAAACTCTATAACACATTTTAATGGAATATTTTGACCTGAGCAATCTGTGAAATTTAGAGCATTTCACCCCTTATATCCTTCCTAGGACAACCATCAATCCTTCCTGGGTCTGTTGCTACTTTGTCCTGAGTTGCAGTTGAACTATAAGTGTGAGGATGTTGCCCACTCTAAGCCTGACGTTTCTGAAGCTAAATCTTCAACTTGAGTATGACTATGAGGCTTAAGTGAAAGTTGTTTTTACACACCATTTGTCATATGGACATAAAATAGTTTGCAGGTGCCAGGCTGGTGAGGCTTCTACCGCAGGCGACAGAGCCATTGACTCCGAAGGGCTAAAGTGCAGCCAGGGAAGGAGGATATGGGCAGAACACTGATTGCATAGGACTGTGAATTCCAAACTGAGTCACGTGACCGATACCTGACACGGAGCAGGTCTCTACTTATTATGAAGTGCTGATTTGGGGGCTTATCTCCCTCAGTTAGTTGGGCCTTTGCTGGGTTTCTTTTGATGGCAGCCCATTTTCTGAGTGAGCAAATTTTCTACCCAGGGCCACAGTTAAGTTTCCCTCTGAGAATGGGAGGAGCAGGGACAGCTCAGCTACTGCAGCTGCTCCGAAGGAGCTGGCTCTGACTTGACAAAATTTGCCTCTGACAAACAGCTGGGGAGTGAGCAAAATGCGTGGGAAATTTCTACCTCATTTGAGGGAAGCAGAAAGTGTTGTTTTGAGAAAGAGAGAAAAGAGAGAAGAGAAAAGCAAAGAAAAACCAAACCTCAGGCACTCCTTCCCCTCCCCAGCACCAAGCTATCAGTGTTCTTCCTGTTCCACAACCTCATGTCCCAACCGAGGGGCTCTCTTGCTGACCCTTCTAGGTTCTGTTTCACAAGGGCTGCAAAAGTCCCTGCTCTGCTAAGCTGAACTTCAAGTAGGCCATAGGATTCTTGCCCTTGAGTGACTACCTCGTCCTCCTTCTTTATACCCAGCCGCCTTCCCCTCTGCTTCACGAGTGAAATTGTCACTGTGCATCCAACTGGTGCTCAGAGCATCTCTGCTCTGTTAGAAGGTCCCTGAACAGCAGGAAGATGCCAGCCCCCAAAAATCTCCTATAATTTCTTACCCTGAAGAATAGAGATGCAAAAAAACAAAAAAACAAAAAAAATCAACATGGCTAACACACTTTTATGTCTGGAAACATTTATGGAGTAGAAACCAGGTGATGAAAGCCTGAGCTTTGTCTCCTACCAGCTGGGGAGGTGGGGTTGTTCTGGCCCTTGGAAAGAACTGAGTGCCTTTCCTGCTCTCTAACAACTTTATCTCGTTACTCACATCAATTCCCAGTCCAGCTGAGCCCGATCGATGTCATCCATCAGCTTCATGAGCTTCTTCTTGAACTGGTGTTCAAAACGCACATCATCCTCAATAACAAGAGTCTTCTCGAGTTCTCGGTCAATTACCTGCAAAGGTCATCAGTGGGAAGACACCCTATGAAAATTTCATCAGGTAAATAAGTAATTGGAAGTCAAGAATACAGTAACATAATTAGTAATAGCTCATAGCTGGATTCTAAGCAAAGGCTCATCCACTGGAATGAATACTGCAGTCTAACACAGGAATGAGAATGTAAAATCCACAACTAAATTCAGTGTTATTGATGAATCTCCTACATATAATGTTGAGAGGTCGCACATACTATCTATTTCCATTCACAAAAAAGGAAAGTACACAGGCAAACTACTCCATGCTGTTACAAGACAGGATGGTGATAACCCTGGGCACTGGTCACCAGGAGGAAGTACAGGAGGAACACATCAGGGATGCTGGTAACCTATTTCTTGATCTGGGTGATGATTAATATGGCTGTGTTGTTCAGCTTTGATTTCAATGAGCTCTATCTTATGACCTAGATACTTTTAGATATCTATCAAATTTCATTTAAAGTTTAAAGAAAAAGAAAGCCATAAATGGGCTCATTAAATTAAAGAAGGCATTCATGGGCTCTTTGCAGAAGGACTTGATCATTTTGTATGGGAACTGAACCTTACTCGCAAACTCTACCTTCCAATCCCACTTCCATCAGTATCTTGATCTAGAAGGCATGGGGCCCAGTTCTGGCTCTGCTTTCCCTTATCTGGACAACGTATTTAAAATTTTCTTCTTGGGTTAAAGGAATCCACCCCCGTAATCTACCTCACAAGACTTCTGTGTGATTTCTTATACGAATGTCTTATATAAATAGCAATATAATAGATACGTAAAAGGCATGCCTGTTCATAATGAGAATGAACTAACAAGAGTGTGGCTCCTAGGATATGGGTGTCTTTCCCTGTCACCACTCTAAGTGGCACTAAGCTGCTCTCCTTGTCCCTTTGTTGCTAGACTTGGGCCCAAGGGAGACACAAGGCAGGAGCAACACTCAGACATATGTTCAGAACAGTTATGGGCTTACTTCTCTGTGGCCCTGCAAGCCCCTCTTCCTTTCTCCTCATTAGAAAACTGCCCTAATGCATTACTTACCTCTTTCCAGACAGAGTAGTGACTAAGAAAGCAGCCGATTTCACCCCTGGTTAAAGGCCTGGAGGAGTAGGGATCTCGATAACCTGGCAGCATTTCAATGTTCAAGGCCTTCAGCTGGCTTGTGTTGAGTGCCCTGCATGACAGAGAACGTGTCCGAAAATTACCAAAGTCAAGGGGTCAAGGTGCCTGCTCCCTCCACCACAGAAGTCAGAGAGACAGAAGAGAGAAAATTCTGCACATTTCCCCAGAGCCTCTACACAGAGGGAAAGACTTCCCGGTTTCCCATGATTCTTTATGAGATCCTCAGAGTTAATGTGTCATGGCAACATCATGAACTTTATGAAGACGAGACAGTGTCTTGTTTTTGTACATCCCCCACAGTGCTCAACACAGATTCCTGCAAACTTTGAAAGAATAACTGCCTACTGGAGGAAAAGTGGTTCATAGGAGCATTCAACACTAGAAGGGATGGGGACAGGAAGGAAGGAGGAGAGGGATTATGTGCATGTGTGATGCATCTAAAATTAAAATGAGATTAAAACTGAAAATAACAGAGAAGCCTTTCCAGAGTGGTAAGGACCTATGAATATCCCACTCTTCCACAAAAGCAATGAGAACACAGACAAAATGGTCACAATTAGCATTTCAGAGCTCTAGAAATTAAAATCTTGCAATAGCAAAAGGAGTATTTATTTAAGAAAATAGCTAGTTATCTGTAAGCACAGTGAGGTTTGTGGAGTTTACATCTGCTCTAATCACTTTCTTTTCAGCCCTACAGAAGCCTTAAAAACCATCATCCTCAGGGGCTGGGGATTTAGCTCAGTGGCAAAGTGCCTGCCTGGCAAGCGCAAGGTCATGAGTTCGGTTCCCGGTACTGGAGAAAAACAAAAACAAAACAAAAACCATCAGCCTCTTAAGTATGGCAGTGGTGACAACCAGCTACCCAGTAGTCACTAGAAATGGCAGGATGCATGAGGACTCTTTTAAAGACTTATTGTCAGGAAACAGTCGCTATTCAACCTCTCTGGCAGTCCCTGAAAACTTCCATTCTTAGAACTTGTCTTCCTTTGACCTGACTGAGGCCTTATTCTTTGCATGTGGGATATTTGTCAAAAACTATCAGTAGCAACTGTTTAACATTACAGCTATTTGGGCAGTGTTACCAGTTACAGTTAATGAGAGGCTGACCAAATAACTTAAAAGAAAAAACTGAGGAATAGCATGACTTGTCTGTAGAGAGTTCTGAAAAGCTCCAACACATTCCTGAGAATCTAAAAGATCCAAACATACTCAGGGCTGTGCACTTCCCCACAAGAGACCAGAGAAGACTTCAATTTCACATCTGACCTTGAGGAGCTAGGAAAAGACAGTGGAAAGGGGAAAGACCTAGTAGAGGACCTGTGGGAAGAGGAAGCCAAATGGATTAAACACTGCATTCAATGGCAAGGGTTGGCATAACATGTTTTAAAAATCCAAGATATCCTGTCTGCAAGAGACAGAATTTAGAATTAAAAACACCAATAGATTGAAAGAAAAGGGATGGGAAAAGCTATATTATGTAATCAGTACCCACAAAAATGTGGGAAGAGCTATATTAATATCAGACAAAATAAACCTCTAGAGAAAATTTATAATAGAGAGAAAGCAAGGTGATAAAATATATCAGGAATATATAGCAGCTATAAATATATAGGTACCTCACAGCAGAACCCCCCAAAAATACAGAGCAAAAATTAGAATTGAAGGGAAAAATGGACAAATCCAACAGTAAGAGTGGGATACTTTAATATTTTACTTTCAACAATGGATAAAATAACTAGGCATGAGAACAACAAGAAAATAGGAGACTTGAATAACACTATAATGCAATTAGACCTAACAGACATCTGTAGAACACTCCATTCAACAACAGCCCAATACATATTGTTTCAAGAATTCTTGGAACATACTTTTAAGAAAGACCATATTTTAGGCCATAAGAGAAGCCTTTGTATACTTAAAGGTCTGAAATGATACAAGGAATGTTTACCAACCACAATGGAATGAAACTCAAAAATCAATGGTGAGAAAAAATTTGAAACTAAAAAATTGGTGAAATTAACACATTCCTAAATGACTACTGGATTAAAGAAGAAATCATAAGGAAAATTAGAAAATATGTTGAAATGAATGAAAATGCAGTACACTAAAACTTATGAGATTTACCTAATGCAGTACTGAGAGGTATAATTATAGCTGTAAATGTCTATGTTAAAAAGATTATCTCAAGTGAATAATCTGACCAATTAATTTAAAAAACTAGAAAAATAAAACGAAACTAAACTAAAAGCATGTAGGAAGAAAGAATCAATAAAGACTATAATGGAAACAAATACACTAGAGAATAGAAAAAATAAGGAGCATCAACAGAAAATGGTTATTTGATAGAAACAATAAGATTGACTATTTTTTACCACTGAAGAATGAAAAGAAAAAGTAACTCAAATCATACAATCAGGAATGAAAGAGAGGACTTTTCAATTGACCTTGCAGAACTGAAAAAGATTATACTATGAACAATTATTTGCAAAAGTTAGATAACCTAGATGAAATGGACAAATTGATCAAAAGACACACAGCTACTGAAATTAACTCAGGAAAAAAACCAGAAATTGTGAACGTACCTATGACCAGTGGAAAGATTGAATTAAGAATCAGTTTCCCACAAAGGAAAGCCCTGAGCCAGATGGAGAATCTGCCAAATATCTAAAACACAATTAATATTAATTCTTAACAAACTCTTCTAAAAAGTGAACCGCAGGAACTGATTTTATGAAGCCAGTGTTACTCTGAAACAAAGTCAAACGTTATAAGAAAATTACAGACCAGTATCCCTTATTAAAACAGACGCACAAATCTTCAAGGCAATAGTAGCAAGCATGGTCATACACACAGAAAATCTTAATGAATGAACACACACACACTATTAGAACTGATAAATTAGCTAATCAAACTTACAAGATATTCAATCAATATACAAAAATGAATTATGTTCCTGTGCATTTAGCAATAAAAATTCTGAACATAAAATTAAGGAAACAATTCCATTACCATAGCATCAAAAAAGGAAGAAATTTAAAAAGAATAAATACAAGATTTATAAACTGAAAGTGACAAGACATAATTTTATTTATAAAAAAGATGTAAATAAATAAAATAAATAATGTCATGAGTGTGAATCAGAAGACTGGAACCCCTACCTCATATTATATATAAAAAATTAGCTGAACATGAATCAAAGACCTAAATGTAAGAAATAAAACTATAAACCTCTTAGGAAAATCCAAGAGTAAATCTTCATAGCTTTGACTTTAATGATGGATACCCAAAGCACAAGCAACAAGAACAATAATTATGTATTGGATTTCATCAATATAAGAAATTTTTTTTCTTACAATAGAAATCACTACAAAAAAGTACTTTTCTGTTTGTTTTCTTCAGGTCTGAAGACAACTCCACATACAATGTTTCTTCTACACTACAGAAAGTGAGAAACCACAACTTTTGCAAGAAAGGCCAGGGGACCAAAGACAATCATATCCAATGTGAGTGTTCACTGTAACAACAACCAAGGATCACCAGATGGGGATGGTTCTCAGATCTGAGCTGCAGGGTGACACTAACTTCAGTGCCACTTTGGACTTCTATATCATATGTGTACTGTCTAGTGACCAAGAGTCCCATGCAAGTCTACCTCTGTCAGAAAAGGCACCTCCCCCTCTCCCGCGCATCTGCAAGAGGACAGGCAGCCCGACTCACTTCCCATCCACCGCCTCCACAATCTTGACCTCGATCTCTTGCTCGTAGAGTGTGCGTAACATCCGGTCCCGCCTGTCCTTTCTGCGTTTGAGGTTAATCATGAATATCTAATGCAGGAAGCAAAAGGGGGAAAAAACCCATAAATCACTTGTTTTATTTTAGACCTTTTGAAAAATCTGGCAAATGTTAGGAGCAGAGTTTTAGGTAGGATAAGAAATGCGAAAGACAGGGAAAATTCTGGTAAAGATTTGTTTGTATTTCCTGTTGAGTTTATGGAGGATAAAGGATACTTATCCAAACTGAACTTCTTTCTAAACAATCATTTGCAGTGACTTAACCCTTTCTCCGTTCCTCTGATACTCATTGAAAAATGCATTCTCCCTGCTCTTGAGAAAACAAAATTCAAAAAGTTAATCTTCAAGAGGCCAAAAGCTAAAACCTAAAATATTCGGCACCGAGAAGCAGGAAGCTGTTTGCCAAGCGGTTAAGTTTATCAGCAGATCTGAGTGTTAAGTCCGGATTGTCATTTATTGTTTGTGTTGAGCCAGTTTCTATACCTTGGTTTCCTCACCTGTAAAACTGGGATAACAGTTGTCCTATTTTGTGAGTATTACATAGCAGTACCATTACAATTTACATCCATTAGATAAACGTAAAGTCCTTCAAAGAATGAGAAAAATCTAGAGCATTGATTTATTGCTGTTATTAGCAAAGATTCCAAGGTGAATTAGGACTTCAATTTTAGCAGCATCCCTGCCAGAATTCTCCAACTCCCTTAGAATAAAGGGAAAGAAGTAAAGAAGCCCTATCCTTGCAGGTGGCTCTTTGATATAGAAGGTGGGAAAAATGGAAAGACATTATTCCAACACTGAGTGGTTCTATGAGAAATGCTATAAGGAGATACCTACAGGTCTGTGAAATAAAGAAGAATGTGCATCAGATTTTTCCTTATGAGGGCTGGGTCCCCCCATCGCTCCTTACCTTTGCCTATAAATTTCTCACAGCTGCACTAAATACAAATACATGAGGTCAATACCAGGAGGTACAGACAATGAGGTTATCCTGGCTATTTGCAGAGTTAAGGAACCATAGAATATCTAAAGCCTCATGAATGCTATTACAAATTAGTGTTTAATAAGATCCTCTTGCTATGAGCAGTAATTGACTAATTTTAATGTTAAACACATCCTCCAAGATTTGGAGATGTTAGCTGCCAATAAGAACTAATGATGACACATAACATGGTGAAGGAAAAACCTACAAGAAGAAGCCAGAGGAGGCTGACTTCATCCTGGCTAACCATACGGATGACTGTGGGGAGTGACATACTTCCGGATCCAATTCTTTCATCTTTAAAATGAGAGTTGAACAAACTCATCTCTCAAAGTTTGTACAGATGAAAACTTCTATGTGCTTTATGCTATAAGCAAAGTAAAAAAGAAACCACTTTATGACCAGCCTGGAGTTCAGAGTATACTGCATAAGTTTTGGTTCAGGAGTCATTCTGGATGTAACTGCAAATAATTGCATGCTTCACTAGGATTGAAAGGTACATAATTAAAATTTCAACCTCCATTGCAATATATTCTCACTTCTACTCATTTATAAATTTCTAGGAAAAGAAACTGATAAGGTAGGAAGATGTCCTCTTTGAAAATTCTCTATCTGCTCTAGGACAAAGCAGATTAAGTGCCTAATGATTTTATTACCTGATTTATTTACCTAACTGGGCAATTATTTTTTAAAAACAATTTCTGTGGTGACTGTATTTGCCTTATTACTTGGGACTTTATAATTTAATGGGTTGTGCTCTTTTATTTTCCGTTTTCTCCCTATTTAGAACATTCCGTCATGGCCATGCTCCACCCTTCACCTTTACAGACACAGAAAGGAAAGAACATTTCCTTATGTGTAAGCGTGGAGCCACCTGGGGTCACTCCAGGAGAAGAGAAACAGCAAAATAAAAAGTAAGCAAAATGCATCAAAATAGTTCCCTCAAACCAGAGACCTCCAGCCTGGGAGGCCCTTGGTAAACAACACAGTGCTAGTCCTTGCCAGGACAAGGGCAGTAAAAACATAGCCACGAAGAAAAGCACAGACAGCTCGCTCATACTTAGTGGATGGTAAACACAGAGAAGAGCTCAGAGCCGAGTGCAGCCCAGACACGACTGCCAAGGTCACAGTGCCAGGAAGACTGGAAGGCCTCTGAAAGTCCCTTGTCACCCCCCCATGTTTGTTCCCCAGAGATGGTTATCCCAGCCTTAGGAAAGCAGAGTGCCTGAGCATGTCACTTCCTAGAGTAGGTTTTTTCCAGTACTCTAGGCGTGACATAGTCCCTATACCATGTCCTGCCAACAGCATCCCAGAGACAGAAGATCCTGGCTTGTCCTGTTTTGTTTGTTTTGGTTTGGTCCTCTCAGTAATGTGATTTTCAGAGGAAAAATGACTATGTGCAAAATGGGTGTTTTTGCTTAGCGAGCTGAGAGGTGAGAGTTCTGGGGAAGGAAGACTACAGGACTACGCAGGTGCAGCGTGCCGAGTGAGCTGAGATTTTTCTCCAGCCCTGGGTATTTTTCAAAACCCTGGACGATCAAGTCTCTGCTCTACTATGTTTACATTCAACTCTTTTATTCTGCCCTTTGTGTAAACACAAGAGCTGTTAACTCTTTCACATTTAAAGCTCATGAAATATTCGCTCCCATTCATAAACTCCAGCTCTGATTCAATTTTATAGAAGAAATTCCAATTCACTGACACACTCCTGGGACACATATGTGTATGTTGCAGTGTGATAAGACACTTTCCTTCCATTACGCAGTGACAGTGAGTGCAGAGCACAATGTTTGGCCTGTAACATATCCAGAATCCACAGAACCCTGACTCAGTCTATAGATTCCTTAGGTGCTGTACTAGTTTCTAGATCACCAAGTTCCTCCTGAATGCTGATCAGTAACTGCATGGTGGACCCACGATGTGGACAGGCACCTCTTTATACTTCTGCTTCCCTTCCTTTTCTTCTGTTTTTTTCTTTCTTTCTCTTCCTCTTTCTTTTTCTTTCTTCTCTTTCCTTCTTTCTTTTCTTTCTCTTTCTTTCTTTCTTTCTTCCTTTCTTTCTTTCTTTCTTTCTTTCTTCTCTTCCTCCTTTACTTTCTCTTCCTTCCTTTACTTTCTTTCCTCTCACTCTCTCTCTTTCCTTCTCTTCATCATCCCTCTCTTCTTCTCTTCTTCCTGTTGGAACTGAGCCCAGGGCCTTGCACGTGCTACGCAAACACTCTACCACTGAGCTACACACACCTCCAGCCCTGCTTCATTTTTTATACAATTAAAACAGCAAATAAATATGACCTTTAGGGAGCTTGTTATGTTCTTGAATGTGGAAGGCAAAATTTTAGAACAAGTTTCTTCTTTTTCTTTGTCTTCTCAACTCTGCCTTCCAACCTTTTCCATGGAAGAGTAGCATAAAAAAAATAGAGCAGGGAGAATTCCAAATAGTTTCCACTCTGCTGTGACTGAGCAAATGTAATGTCTTCCAATACCTAAAACAGGTATCTGCTTTTCCTTACCCTTGAGCCTCAACAAAAATCTTGGTAAAATATGGATAATTCACTTTTACTATGAAATAGTAACTTCTTTCTGACTCAATGATTAACTTCCCTTTACCCTGATCCTAGGGTTTTTGTTTTTTTTTTTGTTTTTTTTTTTTTTTTTGAGACAGAGTCTCACTATGCAGTTCAGACTGATCTTGAGCTCACTTTGTAACCCATGCTGCTCTCGAACTGGCGACAATCCTCCTGCCTCAGCCTCTTGAGTGCTGGGATTACAGGTGTATACCACCATGCTTCGCTCTCCTGATCCTGTTTTTAGGATAAGAAAACAAAGGCACAAAACAGTAGTTTTCCCAAGACTTTGGTGCTTTTGCAGCACCTCTTACAGGCACGCTCAGCCTTGTGCTCCAATGTATTTGTTTTTTTTGTTTTATTTTGTTTTGTTTTCCAGTACCAGGAATCGAACTCAAGACCTTGCACTTGCCAGGTAGGTGCTGTGCCACTGAGCTAAATCCCCAGCCCCTGTGCTCCACTATAAACATATAGGCACACACACACACTCCTACCTCATCAAATCCCATCTTGTCTGGATACTTAGGGACCACTGACACAAACTGGGAAGGTTCCATTGGAGGACGATCAACTGGAAGACACAAGAAATACAGTGCTTGTTAGTGAAGGGTCAGAAAACTCAACTCCACCTGCACACCTGCTCGGGAGGGCCGGGGCCAGATCTGGATAACAAGGGCAGGGTCCACTGCTCAGCTGTCCCCCAGGAAACATGATGATCAAGACACTGATTTCAAGAGCATGTGTTTACATGAAAGTTGTAGTATTGCTCCATTCCCCTTAAGACTTATTTTAAGAGTACTGGGAGGCAATTTAGGGGGATAATTAAGACACAGAGTTCTGGACTCAGATGACGTAGGTCCAATCTTTGGCCTAGAAGGCCTAGGACAGTTATGGTGACTATCTAAGCCTATTTCTTCACATGTAAAAGTGGTATAATAAGAGTTTCTTACTGTGTTATAAAACGAAAATGAGACCCGTGCACAGCACACATTACATGAACGTAGTAAGTACTCAACTGTTACTTGCTGTGGCCTATGGTGAAAGAGCTCAGAAATAGGCTAGATTATAATAACTTGATTTTCATTAAAGGGATAATACGAAGAATATTTTAAATGAGAGATAGGCACAGTGTTATTTAAAGAATTGTTGATGACAACCATTATTACTGTCACCAGCATCCATTCTCCTCTGCTGCAGGCACATGAGAGGGACACATTTTATCGCCCGTAAGGTTAGTCATGGTCATATGATTTTCAGGGGGAGGGTTAAATTTCTGCTGCTCAGGTCTCCAGATTCTCCTTCCTGCCCTGCCTCAGTCCCGTCACAGTGATCACAGTAGCGTGTGTTGATATGGAGGAGCCACAGAGCTGCAGCAGTCTGGAATGCTGCACCAACACATGGAGAACAGCTGCCCTGGAAAGACACTAGGACTGCAGACCTTCAATAGCAATAAATAAACCTGAGGCACCGAGCCAATCAGATTTCACCACTGTTTGATATCCCAGCATAATTTCCCCATCCCCATCCCGACAGAGATATCATGTGCTGTCTGCATGGTATGATCTGTTTAATTTACCCTTCACTGAGACACTAAAGAGAAGCAGTGACCAGTTTCACTTATGATCAAAAAATGTGAAATTCTAAAAGGTAGTAAATGACACAGGTTTCATAAGCCAAACACAGAAGTTGACCTCATTGCGTCAAACCTGGCCTTTGCAGTCACATTTCTTCTTGTACACAGCACGTGTACTCTTTCCAGTAATAGCCTAGAATATTTTGCTTTTTTCTGCACCACTATTTCTTATTAGCTTCTTTTAAAATCAGTGTGGAGGGCCTACCATGTACCACATTATGTTTCTAAGAGAAAGAAACTTAATGTACAACTTCTTCCTGTTTGGGACGCTGTCTTGCTCTTTCTCCTTGGCTTTAGACATAGAAGAGCGTTAGATTTCAAGTTAACCTTTCTAGGCTGCTGGCTTCTGTTTGGTAATCATATGGCTGGTGTGGCTTTAATATTTCAGACAAAGATACTGCATTTAGTCAGTTTGCTTCCATCAAATATACACAGTCAATGCATTTATAGGACAAGTGTTCTCAAAAAGCCAAGAATGGTTGGCTTCTGAAAGTCACTGTGGAATAAAAATGACAGCAGTTTGCCTAGGCTGTGCCACTGGAGGCAGCGCTAAGCTTAGATAATAGGATATGACATAATGGGTCAGACCTAGGAAGCTTATTATGGAAAGAAAGTTGATGTCTTTGCTGACCTCAGACTTGAAAGTTAGGAGATCCTAGCTTTTGTCGTGGCCATTTCTGACTCCATCATTCATAATTTATCCAGTCTGTCATGGAATCTCTTCCTGTAAAGGGCTCCTCCTTGTACTCTCTTTGGGACAGTGGGCTTCACTGACTTCTGGATAGTTTCAAAATTTAGGACTAATACTTAAAGCTACTGTTAAACAGCTCCTATTACTCACTGAACTCTGAGCTATACTTGACATATATAGGAATCACATTTACTTAATCTTCATATGTACAATGTAATAGGTATAAGTGTCTCTATTTTTACAAGCAAGGAAACAAAACTTGACCAACTTGTCCAAGGTCCCAACTTGAGTTCCCAACCTCATTACACCTATCCTCCAGAGCTAGTCCTTCGTATCCATTGATGTTGGGTTAATTGGGCAGCTGAATGAGGTTTATGGTAGTTCATTTAGACCAGTCATGCCTGAAAAAGTACTTTCTAACACTTCTTTCTAGTTCCTCCTGAACTTCTTCCATGTCTGCCTAGCTAGCTCATGTCCTTCCTAGCTCATGTCCTTACCTACCAGACCTGGGCTGTTTTAGTATTTTTCAAATATGCTCCTGGTCCTGCTATTGTCATGCACACAGCTGTCAAAGTAATCTTCTACAGGTACTAATCTGTTCTTGGCCACATCTGTAACTTCACTGTTTTACAATTTTAGGTGTTTTCATAGCCACCATGCAGGTTTATTTTTACTTTCTGCTGTTATAGCTGTTTATTTGTATATAGAAACAAGAGACCAACCCAGAGGTGTACTTACTCAAGGTCAGAAAGTGAGTGCTTAGTAGTGGTGGAAATCAGTTTTTGACCTTTCTGACTTCAGAGTGAATAATCTTAGTAATCTTTATATGATGCTGTCTCAGAATGTTGACTGATACGGAGAACATGCACCCGAGATTTCCATTACTTCATGCTGTGATTCACAAGACCAATCTCCTCACGCCTCATAATTCATTCATATCTATCATCTCTGCAAGATTCAGCCTCTTGTCAATCCTCTCCCACAGGAAACGCTTCCCTGAATTCTCTGTACAGATCCTTGGGTGCTGAATTTTTCATGAATAGTTATTATTATAACTCATTTCCATACTCTTCAAACTTTTTTACTCTAGACCTGAAACTCCAGTCTACAAATCACAAACTTCCTCATCATTACCTTTATAAATATTCTTAATTCCCTCCCATTGATCTTGTGTGATAAGATGCTAATCCTTTTTAAACATGACTGTCCACTTGTTTGTCCCCAGAAGACTTCTACAGGAGAAACTCCACATAATTGTACTGACCAAGTCACTTCAAAGTTACAACCAAAGAAGCCAACTTGGTAACTGACACCAGCAAGTGATGTGACTATACTTCCATAGTGAATCTACTTTCCCAGTCGCTGAGAGATCTATGGTACCCCTGAAACTCCTGAAATCTCCATCAGCTCTCTTCAGTTCATGGCTGGAATATACACTTACCAGGAAAATTTTCAGCATCCAATGAGATCTATGTTTTCATTCCACCTGAATTACATGTGCAATGCGTGTGCAACATTCTGCTTTCTCATCTGCCATCCAAGAGGAAGCCTCCTTGTTTCACCCTAGCATGACTTCTCCTGTGTTGGTCTGGGCTACAACTCCTCTTCTTTGCTCAAGGACACCAATGTTACAGTTTTCTTCTACATCATCAAGTTCACCTTAAATCATGGCTCCTCATTAGCATACAAACATGGTGTAATATTATTGAAGAATAAATAATACAAAGAAATCAAACCAAACGAAAAAAATCCCTCTCTTATTCTTACACCCTAGCAGCCCAGTCCCATCAGGATTCCACTTTCCTATCCCTAGTGTCTTTTGTTTGCCCCATCCCAATGAACATGTGTCTCATCATTGCACAGAAGTGGCTCTTATCAAGGTCATCACAGAGCTCTATCCGGACAGAGAAAATGATCAACTCTATTCTCATCTTACTTAACTCAGCAGCATTTAGCTTTTTCTTGAAACACTTCTCAATTTTTCTTCCCAGCTTTTTGGCTGTTTGTCTCCCCCAGGGATTCTCTCCCTCTCCCTCCCCCCTCCCCCTCCCCCCTCTTTCCCTCTCACTCCCCGCCCCCAGTTCACACTGTTCCTTGGCTTTAAATATCCTTTCTATGTTGATGATTTTCAAATGTCTGTTCTAGATGGAAACTCTACCTGAACTCCAGATACACATATTCAATCATCTCCAGATCTCCCTATTCAAATATTTAATAAATATTTGAAACTTACATGACCAAAACTTCTATCCCCAAATCCCTTCCTATGATGCTTTTTCCATCTCAGTAAGTGATAGAGCAGGCCAAAGAACTGGACTTATTCTTAATTTCTTTCTTTCCTTCCTGGACTGCATCCAGGCTTCAGTAAGCCCTATGGACTCTACCACCAAAATGTAAATCTGTTTCTCATCATCTTGCTATTATAGTTTAGATGTCAACCACCAACATCTCTCACCATGAGAGATGTACTGATCTCCTATACATTAGTATCCACATGACAACTGAAGTGATCTTTCTAAATGTATGAACTACATGAGGTCAGTCCCTGTGGATTTCCATTACTATACGAATAAAATCAAAATTCTTTATCATGGCCAGAACATTCTACACAACCTGGATACTTCTCCTTACATGACTTTCCTCTATCCAGCTCCCTCTGCCTAACTCCTTGTTCCTACCACTGTTGGGCTGTTGTCCCTGGGACATCCTCAAGATTTTCCCTACTAATAGCCTTTACATGTGCTCTTCTTCATGCTTGGAACACTCTCCCCCAAATATTCATATGGCTGCTTCCTTGATTGATGTAGTTGGGTCTCTCTGATAGAACAGTAAGTCTTTGGTGACAAAGCTTCTGCCAATTTGTTCACTGCTACATACTCAGCATCTTGAGAAATTATGAAATTTAGTATGTGGTGAATAAATACTCATAGCCTGGTCCCCTCTTCTAAAACCTCCATTGCTCCTTGGGCTGGGCGCCATGTTTTAGCTGGGCATTCAAGGACCACAGCTAAACTATTTCACCCTCTCAAATTTTGTTTCTGTTGTTTTAAACCAATTCTCTTCCAGGGTGGGAATGCTTTGTCTGCTTAGTCTGTTTCCTCTGCCAGGAGTACCCTCACCATATCTCTCCTGTAGTTTAAACTCTATGGTTCTACCCAAGTTTAGTTTAAGAGCCATCAGGACTTGAAGCTCTCCTGGATCACAGCAACTTCTCTCTATTCCAATTTCCACTTTGTTTTTTGGTACCGAGAATCGATCTCAGGACCTCAGGCTTGCCAGGCAAGCGCTTATGCTGCTGAGATACCTCCCCGGCCCCTGTCTATTCCAATTTCCTATACCTTTATATCTGCTCCTTTCACAAAGAGCTATGCTGCATTCTTGGTTTCTGTTTTGTATCAGTCTATCTTCCCATTTAAACTAGAAACTAAGAACTGATAATAAAAAATTCTGACTCTCTAGTACCTTCAGAGAATGACTCACACGTTACAGACAGGGATTTCATGTTTGGTCATGAAAAAATACATGTCTAATGCTTCAGTCAGAATAGTCTAATAGCTTCCATTTATTTTAGCAGCCTTTTTTAAACTGCCCTTTGAGTTCTAGGCATTGTGAGAAGAGTTTTTAATATCTACTTTAGAAAAGGGTACTTGAGGGCTGGGGATTTAGCTCAGCGGCAAAGCGCCTTCCTGGCAAGCGCAAGGTCGTGAGTTCGGTTCCCAGTACCGGAGAAAAAAACAAAAAAAAAAAAAGAAAAGGGTACTTGACAGATACAATTTCATCATTACTAGCATTTTATTCATCTTTCACAGGACTTTAGCTTATATTTCTACATTATAACCATCAAAGTTTGGTTTTCCAATTGTTTCATTACTTCAATTATGTTCTACATTGTAAAATTCAGAAGTGAAGCTTAACAAAATTATAACTCAAGAAGGTAAATACAAGAATTAAATAAAATGTCATAAATCAAATGCTTTGCCTGTGTAGAGACATCAATAATGAAAGCTATAATTTAGAGGTTCTTCTCCTATGAATTTTATCTGCCCAGAAAAGGAGTTGTGCATATTTGTAATTTATTATTTTGCATTTCTGTGCACTGAGATCTTTCTCTCTGCCCAGTCATGTGGGAAGAAATGAGAGAACACAAGTTTGGGCCAGCCCCTCTCTGAGTGATGTCTACATGGGAGTCGAGGCTGCCAGGATACAGGGATGATAAGGAGCAGTGCTTTTACTAAGTGCTAAATCAAGTCACTATAATAGCAACACCTCAGAATATGCAGTGTAGTATTTTATAATATTATATCAGTCTAATATTTTATATTATAATATATACAGTATATTTTATATTATAATATATACAGTATAATATTTTATTTGGTCAATTCTGCAGTCAATGTTAGTATCCTTACTCTGCAGATAAAAGAACTGAAGCTTTGAGAAATTGATTCTCCATTCATAAGTGACAAAACTTAAGTTTAAGTAGATTATTTTGGCTTCAGGTTTAGTGTGCTTGATGATATAGCTTTCATTCATCTGTTCATTCATTCATTCATTCATTCATTCATACACTGACTTGTCTGGTCATGCATTCAGCAAATATTTGACACCAACCATATACCATATGCTGTGCTAGGTGATTGGGATACAAGGCAGTAAGTTACCACCTTTATCCTCTATTGCAGTGGTGGCAAACCTATTTGAGCTTTCAGTGATAACCAACAGCTGCTGCAGCAGACATGCCATAGGTTCACCACCACTGCTCTAGGCCCTGAAGATAGGAAAAGAGGCAGAAATAGTAAACATTAAAGAAATTCACAAATATATTCCTAAGGGTTGATTTAGGCATGTCATAGCAAACCAGTCCTTACTCTTCATTCATTCACTTAGTCATCATTCGTCCATTCAATCATTCCAGAAGTATATACTGGATAGGTGATGGCAACATATTAAGTCCTCAGACTAACCTGATAAAAAAGGACTTTATAGTCTGGGGCTAGGGAACGGAAAATAGATATTTATAGGCAACTCGATGGGTCTAAAAGATAAACTCATGGATTTTTTTCAAACTTCTCTTCTTTCCAGATGCCTTATTCCATTTAAGACTCCCAAAACCATCCGACAAGCCAGAAGCTGGGAGTTTTGCTCTGTCACCCTTTTGCTCATCCACCTACAGCCAATTCTCAGCTAAGTCCTTTCACATCTATATCCCAAGTATCTCTGCTCCTCCCGCTCTATTGCCACAGCCACTGCTTCGACTCATATCTTCACAAAATTTGCCTAGTTTCCATATAATTTCCAAAATGAACTTTCACCTGTCTCTTGAGACCAAAATTCACTGTCCTTCCGTGCCGCATGTGTCACTTGTATTAACCTAGAATGAACTTCCTAAACCCAAATTTCACTCTCACATTTCTGGGTTAAAAACTCCTTAAAAGCTCCTCTCTATTCAGGAAAATCTGAACACCTAAGTCATCAGAGGTCCTGGCTGGGTTCCTGCCCCGTTCCCAGCCTCACTTCCTGCTGTGCCTTCCAACAGCCTTCACTTCCCCTGTGTATACATTCTATGCTTTAGTGATGAAACACAGAAATATTCCCTCCTATAGAAAGTCATTTCCAGCATTCTGGTTGGGCTAGGTGGATCAGTACAGTACTTTCTCCTTGGGCCACCACTGTACATTGTACAGTAAGTTTAGCTACTGATTATTAAATGCCCCATTTCCAACATCATGCTGTGTTCAGAGACAATGACAATACAGTGTTCAAGGACATGGATCTGGAAACAGGAAGACTGGTTTAAGTTTCAGTCTTGTCATTTGTTTACTAAAACAATCTAGAGCAATTTACTTAAGATCTCTATACCTCAATTTCTTCATCTTTATTATGGGAATAATAAACCCCCTTCATCAGGTTGCTGTGAAATTTAATGAGACAAAAAGTGCTTCATGTGGTATCTGTTACATCATAAGCTATTATTAAGTTGAAATTCATAATTATTGTATATATATAATTATGACTTGTACATTCATATTGTACATTCATATTATGCAATATATATATATATAGTATGTATATTCTGCCTCGAGCCCTGGAAGTTTTCATTATCTCCATTGTATAATAAGGAGGTTACTTGCCTAAAGTCATATGATATGAAAGCAGGCCAGTTAGGATTTAAATTAATGCCACTGAAAACTATTATAACACTTACTACACTCTGTAGAAAGTATTTGTGTACTCAGTTCTCCACTAGGACAGGGAGCTTATGCCATTTGTATTTCACAGAGGAAAAGTTTTAAAATGAATGAACAGATGAATAGCTACATTTCAACCAAGACAGCCTAACAGCCATGAGTTTTCACGCCTGGAAGAGGAGAGACGTGGGGGGCTTAAGCCATTGCCCTGCTCCTGGGGCACTCACTCATTGCTTCTATCTGCACGTGGATGAGGTTCTCGATGTCCTCCTGCAGTGTCTGGTGGGGCTTCAGGGGGATGGGCAGGTAACCATAGTGCTCTCTGTTGCAGAGGTACATCTGGATGCCTGAAGGTCCAAGAGAGAAGCAAAGTCAGCCAATAAGAAAACATACTTCTTAGTAACAGCTGAGGGGAGAACAAGGAGACCTCAAAAATGTTCTTTTATTTAAAAAAGTAAAATGCAGCATTGGAGGCTCATAAAAAATCTGGGCTATTTTTCAGCCCAGAGGAAATTGATTTTTCCCTCTGAAGAAACAGCACACTGATGGCCTGAAATGAACACTAAGGGCTTGAAGGGATCAGAAGGGAGGCAATGAATTCCCATTCAAGAGAGCAGAATGAAACACTGTAATCCACCTACAGGAAATAACAAGAAAATGAGCAATGAAGTCCATATTTGATATGAAAACAAACCGGAAAATCCTGTAAGGCTGACAGGTTATTAAAGCTAAATCTAGGCATATGCAGAACAAAAAGTAAAAAATTACAAAGGAAATTTAGAATTCTCCATGATTCTGCTTGGTATTATTTCTTCCCTTAACATACATGGATTTGGAGTCAATTGATAGGCACAAAACTTCCAAAAAAGTTTATAAAGGGGCAAAAGAAAGCCTGCATTTTAAGTCCTAATAAGAACCTGCCATGTGACTCTCCCCAAAATATATCACATCCATCTCGTATTTAACACTGTTCTGTAGTTCTAGCAGGGAAACGCTAAGGCTTATAAGCCAGATGGCTAGAAATATGGGGATCAGGGTGGTCTCCTACAGATGCGGCAGTGGAGAGTCCTAACTAAAAGACTGCTGAGTTAAAAGGATGAGCCTGCTGAGATCTGGTCCGTGTACCTAAGCTGTGATTTGTTAATTGCCACAACCACCAGTGTTTTCCTGAGACAGAACTATCTGCATAGTGACTTTTCCATTTTGTGCAGATGAAATTTCCACCAGTGAAGCTGTATCACCTGACAAGTTAGATGAAGCTGTCTCATAGAATTAATAGAGATGAAGAGGAAAAGAAAAGGGCTTTTATCCTCCACCTTTATTGTGTCTGTCTTCAGTCTGGGCTGGTCCACGAGGACTGTCACTTTTCTTGCTTTCTCCAAATGAATTTATTAGTCCTGCCATTTGGCAACATGAATACTTATGGTGAACTTCAAACCCCAATGCACCTTCTTGCAAAATCATGATAAATTTAGAAAGTGGAAGAAAAAGATTTAATATTTAGGATGCTTCTCTATCCTAATTAGGTAAACCACTTTACCATTTTTAACTTTCCAAAGCTTCCATAAAAGAGGGATAAGATACCTACCTAGCCAAGCTATCCATCAAGTACAAGGACACAGGAAAGGCATTTTCAGACATGAAAAGTCATAAAATATTTACTTTCCATCACATTATCTTAGAAAATTACCGGGTGATGTGGAAGGAGGGTGAAGAGGAAGAGAAGGAAGAAGAGGAGAAAGAGGAAGGTGAAGAGGAGGATAAGGCGGAGGAAGAGAATTATAATGCATGAGACAAAGTTAGGACACAAGCAGAAGTCAATGCATGAGAGAAGAGACTGAGACCCAGGTTGATGGGCTTGACATTTCTTAGATTAGAGTATATCAGAAAACTTCCAGAGGGACATCTTCAAGACATGCAATAGGGAACATCTAATGAATGTGAGCATTCTGAGAAGAGTTTGAGAAAATTAGTGAGTAGTTTGTTATTGTATTAGTAATAGTAAAACTAAGCAAAAAAGGGTAGTGTAATTATTTAGATAAAGGAAACTAGTTAGAGCCTATAAATGGCTGAGCTTGGGGTTAGATTCATGTGATTAAGGAAAAAAAATTAAATTATACTTAGAGGAGGTGAGGAGAAGAATGTGTTTGCATTGGGGGGTAGGTAAAGGGTAGAGAGAGAGAGCTAACTCCTTATTTCCTGAAGTGGAAAATCAACAGGAAAATGCCTAAAGTAAGCCAAAAAAAATAAGGAAGTAGCAACGCAAGCATGTCATTTAGAAACAGGTCTATAAATACTACAGTAACAATCATCTAAAGAGATTATCTTGTGGAAGAGAGAAATGCTTTAGGGGTGGTGTGCAGGAAATGGTCCCTCTTTAAATAAACCTTAGCTAACTATTTGAACTCTTCAATTCATGGGTAATTTGATAAACATAAAGAATTAAAAAGGAAATTTATAGTTAGATCAAGTTTATGAAGAAATCTGGTACACTCAGTAAAAGCTGCCTCTGAGAGCCAATTTTTCCTTTGAAAAAGAGAACTGAATAATATAATTGAGAGACTGCTTTTAGATGTCAAACATTCACTTGTACCCATGTAGCACCTTAACACCACAAATCATTATAATGATCTCTCCCTATGATGATAAAAAATAATAAAAGACTGACTTGCCCAAGGCCTCACAGTAAGTCATTAAAGCCAAATCTTTGTCTCTGATCATCAATGCCAAGGGATTTTATACCTTTTCAGGATTCAGGAGCTTAACCTTGGGGACATTGATCACTGGGAATTGACCTAAAAGAAGATTCTTATGCTCATCACCAGTGATGTCCTGCATGCAGAACCGCTTGCCCATCGTTACATTACTTGTGATTCCTGCCCCTTGGACTCACAGCAGATATCTGAAAAAGGCCCGGCCAAAGAGCACCACTGTAGCCCTGATACAGAGCCCAGATCACTGGCCGCATGGGAGGTAATTTCCTGCCACTGACTTCATTTTTGTCACAGAGATTTGCTTATGACCTTGTACTCTCTTCTTGGTCAGATGGGCTGCCACATTTTTTCATTCATTCATTCATTGATGGACATATAGGCCACTTCCAAGATTTAGTTATATTGAATTGTACTTCTACAAACATGGGTATGCATGTATCACTGTAATATGATGTCTTTAACTCTTTCAGGAAGATACCTAGGAAGAGAATACCTGAGTCAAATGGAATTTCTATTTTTAGGTTTTTTTAGGTATCTCCACGCTGATTTCTACATGGCTGTACTAGTTTACATTCCTACCAACAATGTACACAGAAATATCCTTTTTACCTGCAGCCTCTCCAGCATTTGTTATTATTTGATTTCTTGATAACAGATATTCTTTCTGGAGTAAGATAGAATCTCAGCTTCGTTTTAATTTGCATTTCCCTGATGGTCAGAAATGTTGAATATTTTTTCATGTATTTATTAGCCATTTGTACTTCTTCGAAGAAGTGTCTATTCATGTCAGCTGCCCATTTTTTGACTGAGTCTTTAATTGGGGGGCAGTCTAATTTCTGAGTTCTATATATTATTAGTCTTCTGTCCAAGGAATAGATAGCAAACATTTTTTCCCATTCTGTAGATTCACTCTGTTGGTTGTTTTGTTGGCTGTGCAGAAGCTTTGTAATTTAATATGGTTCCATTTGGTGATTCTTGTTATTTCCTGTGCAATTAGGATTCTTTTCAGAGAGCTCTTGCCTATGCCTATGTCTTCAAGAGTTTTACCTATTTTATCTTCCATCAGGTTAAGTGCTTCTGTTTAAAAATTTAGATCTTTGATCCATTTTTATTTTAGGTTAGTGCAAGGTGAGAGAGATGGGTCTAGATCTTCCGCATGTGGATAGTCAGTTTTCCCAGCACCATTTGTTAAACAGGCTACCTTTCCTCCAGTGTATATTTTGGGTTCTTCTGTCAAAGATCAGATGGCTGAATGTGCTTGGTGTGGTTTCTGCATCCCCCATTCTGTTCCAATAATCCACATGTCTTGTTTTTGTGGTAATGGCTATAATCTGAGTGGAAGACGTTGGCAAAGTCTGGGGTCAGATAGTCGTAGGCAGGTCCTCGGCTTCCTTTTGCATGTTTACACAATGATGCTACAGTAGGTAATACACAGCTAGGGAGCTTCAGAAAAGTAAGAATCAAAGAACACTAGTCATCTGTCATCCTTTTATAAAGACGAGGGGAAGTGCTTTGCTTTGGACCCACAAAAGGAAGAGCCTCAAGACACACCATGGGTGGCTCATTCATGTTGTGCTTGAAAATGCTTCAAGATTCATGGAATACTACCTCAGAACCACACAACTGTCAGGAATTATCTTTAATTTCCCCCAAATGACAGTGATTATTTTTTTTGTTGACTTCCAACTGTTCAGTCTGTGACACTGGATGTGGCCCATGGTATTCACTGTTGTCATCACTATAGCTATTTTTTTTTTCACAATTCTCAACTTCCAACTGGCACAGAGGCTAATACATCCTAGCTTGAAAGATAGAACTGGCTAGGTTGGTCTTCTCTTCTCCTTTTCCACCTATCCTTTCCCCAGATGAACCACCAAACAGCTCTGTGACTCCATACCTGCTGTCACTGTCCTGGAAAGGCCTTTATGAAGTCACAGCAATAAAGCATAAGGTCCTGGTGAACAGGCCAAGCAAAAGACAGAGGTAAAACTTTCCTATTCAGTCTGTGACACTTTTCCAGCCCAAACATCGGGTATTGGTTTTCCAAAATATATCATCATCATTTAGTGCACAGGTCCCAATAATACCTTGTGCAATGGCCACAAAAGAGGACTCTGTCAGGCAGAGGCCATCACTCTCATTGTTAATAGAGCACTCACTTGGACCATCCTTGCTTCAAACTCTGAAGCAAAAGGACAGGCACAACTTCAAGGAACAGGAAGGCCCTGACTCTGCTTCCCATCCTGGAGAAGTCACAGCAAATAACGGAACAGGCTGAAAATGCAGTTTCCATTAATGTGGACACAAGCACCTTTGTGAAAACTCCAGTCCACATGAGGATTGATTTGTCCCTGGAAAATGTAGGCCTAAAAAATGCCTGCATCTGGCCAATTGGTCTAAATTGTTCTGGCACCCAAAAGAAAAAAATATCAACTGTTCACATTCCTACCAAATACTTGCATTTCTAACAAATCTACAACTGACAAATGGGAACCTAGGGCCTGATGTATGAGTTGTAGGCTGAATCTGCGTTAGCATTCTTATCTGCGGGCAACATCCCCACTGCTTACAGTCTTCACAACAATCTGTTTTGCCCTAATTTATATGAGCACAGTGAGTTTATTTCACCATCATTATGGTTTCTAAACCCGTTTTTGCTAGTGATTATGTGGCACATTTCTGGCACATTGAAAACGGCCCCTGACGCTGGCAGGAAGGTTTAAATTATTCTAATAAAGCTGTGCTTTAGTAATGCCGTGTATCTTTCTATTGAACTGTTTTTGTGAATGTGTATCTTCCCTTATTTCATGTGAAGGATGAAGAAAGAAACTCTTTCTTTTTTATTGCTTGTCTTTCTCAAGAAATATACAGATTCCACTGGAAATGTCCCAGTTATTCACAAAGATGAAGTTAGCTTTGCTTCTCTTTTCATGGGGCTGAAGGCAGAGACTTCTGATTGCCTCCAGTATCTGTTCTCTCTTTTGTCTAGAGGGAAAGAACTGGGGCCCATGACCTCATAGAACAAAGATGACATTCTGGGCCTCCCTCCCCGTGCGTGCTGTCATCTTCCCAAGATCCGGCTGAGATTACCATGTAAGTGCTGCTGTTTCCATCTCTGGGCCGTACCCTTGCAGGGATGGAGCATGCCCTGCCTCTGTTCCTGCCTTGATGGTGAGGAGTCCACCTAAATGTGACCATTAAGAATCTGACCATGGAGGGTAGAAAGACAATGTAGAAGGAGCCTGCTTCTCTGAAAACTCTGTGGAACAAACAGCTATGATAGCAGCTCAGATTTTTTAAGGAAGAAATAAATTTCCAAATTTAAAGTCTGGGGACTTCGGTCAGAGATACAGCTCGGTGGCGCAGTGCCTGTCTAGCAAGCATGAGACCCTGAGTTCAATTCCCGGTTCCAAAAAAAAAAAAAAAAAAGTCTGGGGACTTTGCTAGTGTCATTTTGAGCTTCTATCACAGTTTTCTAATTAATAAAGGGACTCCTATAGTTAACAAGAGCAGTGCATTCAGTACCATAGAGAACCAATCGGATTCCTGTGACTCCTCATGTTACCCCTACTGCCTCCACTTCAACTTGGGCCACCAAGAGAAAATGGATTCTGAGGGCAGGGCAGTCTTGGCTCTGGTCATTAGTGCTCACAAGGACAGCAACACCGAGGGTTCTGGTGTAGTTACTGCAGACAGTGCATTGCCTCTAACACTACCTGAAAAGGAAGTAGTTTTTTGCTGGGTGAGAACTGATTGGGGCTGAACCTAGGGCCTGCTCACTGAGCTACAGCCCCAGATCTGTTTTTATTTTGTATTTTGCTGCCCAGATTGGGTTCAAACTTGCAATCCTCTTGACTCAGCCTTCCAGAATACTAGGATTACAAGCATGTGCCAGTGCACCCTCCTGCGATTTAATTTAAATAAGAAGCACAAAACAAAGGAGCTAATCCCTTTCCGTGTTTCTGTGGTGGCAGTACAACGGAACACAAATGATACCTGCTTGCCTGCTGGAGAAGGCAAAGACGATGATGTCATCAAAAGTCCAGGTGTAGTCCTGGTGTGGCGGGTAGAAGGTGAGCTTGTCAGAAGCCTCCCTCCTGAGATCAATTAAGAAGGTGGAGTGGACCATGGGGACAGGGAAGCAGCCCATCCTCTTCCATTCTCTAATCTGAAGGTAGTCTGGAGTCCGTTTATAGAAGCCCTGTAAAAGAGCAAATAGGTGGGCTGTGTCCTCTGATCTGTGGGCTTCATCCACCCCAGTCGTCAGCTGGGCTGATTCCTCCAAGTCAGCATCACTTAGGAGAAATCCCCAGAGTCTCCCTCACTCCTCTTATCTTGGCCTAAGAGTTTCCAAATGTGTTTAGGAAATGCAATCTCTATATAAAACAACACCTACAGGGTCATTGTATCAGAAATAACATTAGTTTCCTTGTTTGTCTCGGTTTGATAACATCATAAAGGTGCATTCCATGTTGCCTTATGATTATACACAAGTATGAGTCTTAGGGAGTGGAGAGCACAGTTCTGGAGTCAGACTGGCTGAGGTCACATCCCACCTCAACTCCTTGCTGTCTACAGTTGCAGCCAGATGACACTGCCTTGCTGTGCCTACTGCCTCATCTTTCCAACGGGCACGATGTGGACACCTACTCCATAGGGTTTTCTGCAAAAACCAATGAGTAAAATTGTAAAGTACTTGGAATAATCCCTAACATCAAGAAAGTGTCACCAAATATTGGCTAGTATAAAATGACTACATTTCATTATGTAAAATATTTTTAATTAAACATATATTGCTTCCGCAAATGAGGGTCTCTTTCAGTGCACTTACTTATTGGATACTCTGGTGGAGCTGCAACTGCTCCATACTTTTTGGAGGTTCACATTTTGAACTTGCTACCTGTACAATAACACAGGACAACCAATCATCTTCCTTTGTGATCTCAAATACACTGGTTTTGAACAACTTAGGCCCCAGACAGCTTGTTTTCCCTCCAAACCCAACTCTTCATTCAACAAATACCCACTGACTACCTGCTCTAGTCCAGGCACTGTGGGAAATTGTGGGGATTTAATAAACAAGACAGCCCCAGGCTTAGCTTTCAGGGAGTACAGAAACTAGTATAGGAGATTACACTCCAGGGGCACTGCTTATCATTTGGCTATGAACAAAGCTCAATTCTTTCCAGAAAAGATGGAGATGCATCTCAACAAATCATACTTAAAAATATGTGGAAGCTTTAAAAGGTGTTTTTAAAAAGGGTGTAAGTGATGGAAGGCTCAGTGGAATAAATGTCAAGCTTGACAAGGGCACAATACTCATTGGACACACAAAGTCTTGTGTAATCTTTAATCACACATGTTCCTTTATGGGTGCATCCCTAGCATGATATCAGCAACTTCATATTGGCATTCAACCTCTTCTGCCTCTGTGACTGTCCTTCTGTGTGCGTAACACAGTCCTGACTGGGTTAGTACTAACACTAACGTGTCATAAGGTAGAGGGATGACAAACAAAGACTGAGACGACACCAGTCAATTTTATGGTCTTCTGTTACCGATCTCAGCCCATACTTAAATTCTTTGTTTCCTCCTAACACTTCAGCTGATGAGCATTCTTCCACAGGACACAAGGAACTCTGAATCTTCACAGGGCTGTCTGAGGACTCATGTCAATGAAAAGCTCTAGACTTAGGGACAACATTCTTGGAATAAGAAAGTTGAAAAATTTATGACAACGATGAATCACCGAATATCCAGGGAGTGAGGAAGGTGAGGAAGGAAGCAAAGAAAGAGAGAAAAGGAAAGTGACTATGATTCCTACAGAGAGGCAGAATTGATGGCTGTGTCTCTGTTTTCCATGTAAATTGAATTTTTTGATAATAATTCCTGTTCATTGGGCAGATAACACGAAGGCCATTCTGTTTTGAGTGCTCAAAGGCTCTGGAAATGAGGGCCTGCCTTGAGGTTATGAAGTTGTTGACCATTTCTGTTCCTTCCCTTGTAGAAACCAAAAATAGATGGAAAAAACTTATAATGGCTCTAAGTTGCACAAATTTGAGTTTTACTGTGCAAAATAAGTGAGCACATTCTAATTGTGTTTAATAATTAAGATAAATAAGGAAATAATGGAAACTTGGAGGCTGCAGTCCCTGAGCTAACCTCCCTCTACCCTTGTTGCTGGTGCCAAAGCATAACTCACTGCAACAACCCTCAAGTGATTCTGCCATGTGAGCCATTCCAGATTATTAACTGAAGCCTCAAACCAAGCTACTATTATGTTTTCTTCCCAAGACACTGAATGGACTTTATAAGTATAAACTTACTGTCTCCCTGACAGACATAAGGATAATCAAAGTCATTCGCAATCTTTTGGAAGGGAAATAATTGCAACAAAAGAGGGGATGCCTCATCTAGTAGTGTATCAGAGCCATTGACCATTACATTTTCAGAAATTTTACAAACCAGTTGACATCTTGGTAGCCTGAATTCTGTAAAAACAAAAATCATGTTAAACCTTACCATTTGGGTAATATCTCTGATAGCAGCTTTCATATTTTCAATAACTAAAAAATCATCAAGTGGCTATACTACAGTTTAGTTAACTTTTCCCTTAGCTTAAACAGCATTTAAATTTCACTGGGTGGAGGGGAGTGTTTGGCAAATGTTACCAATTAGAGTTTTCTCCACCAGAAAGCCAGTCATTAAGCATTTATCACCACACTAATAGCTTCATTCCTTAGCAAAACTAAATCAAACATAAAAGAGAGACAGAATTTAGGCCTCTGGCCATGAAAACACATTTAACAAATTAATTTTCTCCCTTAGTACATCTAAATTATACATATATGATCAGCTTAATTGAGTTCTGTAATTCATTAACTAAAGAATAAAAATGTAAACAGCCATAAGCATTCCCTATAAGAGAGCTCTAGACTTTGAAGATTTTACATGGAAAAAAAATGGAAATTAAAATTCTGTTTTTAACTTGAATTTTTGAAAAATGAGCTACTATGTCAGTTTTTAGAATCTATAGAAATAGGGGCTGGGGATTTAGCTCAGCAGCGCGGCGTCTGCCTGGCAAGCACAAGGTTGTGAGTTTGATTCCTGGTACCAGAAAAAAAACCAAAAAAAAAAAAAAGAATCTATAGAAATAAGTGTAGCAACTTATGTCTAAGGTCAACAAAATACTTATAGTCTTTGACTCAGTAATTCTACTTTGAAGAAGCTATTCTAAGAAAATAATCTTAAATATAAAAAAATTTATATTAATTGTTAAAAGTTGCAAACAACTTAAATGTTATTCAAGCTAAGAGAAAGATTAAGTAAATTACAGTGTGCCTATAATGATAGTGTAGTTATTAAAAACATGCAGACTTCCTTCTATAGTGTTCTTATAGAGGCAGAGATAGATATGGATATTGTAATAGTGTTACATTCCTTCATTTCTAAGTTTTTCTACAGTGTTCTTGTGGTAACTTTTAATGATGAAAAATTAATTTTTCTTTTAAAATTCCTGAATTGGGGGAGGAAAAGGACAAACCCCAGCATGCTTTATTGGTTAATTTTGAGCTTCTAAGCCAATCTCTTTGAATATGTGTTGGTAATACAGAGGAACTAGACCTGGGTTTACCTCTTTTTCTGAAAGTGCTTGCACTAGTAACCTGAATTTTTGAAGGGAGGGAACATGAAAAAGGTAAGGACGATGCCACTGCCTTGTTGAATCTCATTCATGAACCAGAACACCTGCCTGAGGTGTGATTCCGCACCAGAAGTTAGAGTACAGCCCTCGGGACTCCAGCATGGGCGCCACGATGGTCTTGTTTTCTGCAATCATTAGGTTGAGAGTCTGTGGATTAGTCAGGAAGTTGTCAACATCTATGAACTAAGAAAAGAAAAGAAAATGTCAGGTGCAGAGGCACTTCTCAGCACTGGCTTTCAGAATAACCCCACACAACTACAGGGTTGTGTGGGGCGAGTATCTTCAGCTCCTTGGTGAAGCCCATTGCAGTCGTGTGGCTTTCATTCCATCAAAATACATTTAGTCTAACTTCCACATGCTCAGCTCTGCATGAGCCACTGAGTAATGGATTGGTGTTGGCATACTGGGCACAGGTTCAACCAGGACCCAACCTTGGTAATGGCTTAAGTACAAAACATTAACAAAGCCGGGCATGGTGGTGCACGCCTGTAATCACAGCACTCAGGAGGCTGAGGCAGGAGGATCGTTGTGAGTTCGAAGCCAGCCTGGGCTACAAAGTGAGCTCAAGATCAGACTGAACTGCATAGTGAGACCCTGTCTCAAAAAGACAAAAAAAAAATCCAAAACAAACAAACAAAAAATTAACAGCTCCCAAGTCCTTAATGATTCATTCAAAAATACTTACTGAGTGTCACTGTTCACACAGATGAGAAGATCTATTTATATTTTCTGGGCCAGAATGGACTCATCAATGGTATTTTAATACTACAAGTAGAATTTTTGTTTAAAGTACATTAGATCTACCCATATTAACCAAATGGCATGATTTTTTTTTTTTTTTTAGCAGAAATCCACATTAACTCTGATTCTCATCCTCAGCAGGAACTCATGTTAACATTGATTCATTTATAGAAGACAGTGAAACAACAGATTCTACGTAAGAAATAAATGATCATACTGAATTGTGTTGCTAACATGATAGATTTTATGTCATGTATCTTTCATTACAATTAAAAAATAATCAGAAGAATTCATTCCTATAAAAATCAAACTACTTACCAAAAATTTTGTAGTTTGGCATTTATATAATTTCAATAACAGTTACCTATTTATTTATTTTTGGTACTGGGAATCAAACTCAGGACCTTGCAATTGCTAGACAGGTGTGTGTGCCACTGAGCTACACCCACAGTCCCTCAATAACATTTAAATAGCCACATATAATGTTAAATATTGTCAGTACAATTTGAAAATTTCTATGAAACATTTGTGTTGAAAATGTGTACAATAAATTGTTAGGGTAATATTTTGAGTGTCCAAGGTCCTGGGGAGGGACATAGTGAAAGCAGATGTCCATACACGTAATGAAAAGTAAGTTGGCTTTGCTTTATTGGTGGTGTTTCTAGTGTTAGACTGCAAAACTTTTGGCCAGAGTTTTTAGAAAAAAACAGTGTCTTTCAGGGAAGAGGGAGCTACTGTCTACTAGTAAGCTTTCCTCCTTTCCAACTGAGGCAGGCTCATTGAGGATGAGGATGCACTGATTTCCAATCATCGTCAATTCCAGCATTTTTCTGGAGCAAGCTTTAAGGAAAGCAATGGAACCTCTCAACAGAAGGAATTCTCCACAAGAGCCCAGCAGAACTGGAACCAACCAGGAAGCCAAATAAGAGATTTCATTCCCTGAGTCGCCAGGAGCTAAAGGGAATGGAGCTTCAGAGGTGTCTTGATATAATCATTTTCTCATATTCTTAAAATTCTTCCACCCAGTTTATTGCTTTACCTACAGCATCCCCTAAGACTCAAGGTCCTTATGCATGTTATATATAATAGAACAGATGCTTTGAGAGATCTTTTCCTCAGGCTGCCTTGAAAGTATACATCAGGAGTGAGTCAGAGATGAAGACCAGGGATTACCATACTAAGTTACCAGAATTTTTCTCGTGAGCCTTTTACTGGGGAGATGGTGTCGAAACAAAGGTTGTTTCGATAGTTCCCATGGTCCTGGCCTTTGAACAACTTATTTGGACACACTCTAGATAACGGTTGTGAAGAAATGAAGCATCAGTTTTTACCAGGATGTAGTCTGACCATTTCTCCCTCGCAGTTCGAAGGGCTGCCTGTCGTAGTTTCATGACATGGGCAAACCGGGAGCTTGGCCAGTGCTTTGGCCCAATCTCATCAGGATAAGACCTGAAAGGAGAATAATATTAATAGCTTGAAATTATTGAGTTACTCCAGGTACCAGGCTGTGTCCTAAACGTTTATACATTCGAGCTCATTTAATCCTCCATCGACCCTAGGGATGAGTACAGTTGTTGCCGCCATTCCCACATCACAGATAAGGAAACTGGAGCGACAAGAGATTAAGAAACTTGCTACTTACTGAACACAAGAGTATGTGTATGAAATATTTCAGTGGGTTCTAGCAAGAGTCTCATGACCCACTTACTCCCCATTTTACAGATGAGGGTAGTGGTGTGCAGAAGGTAAGCCACTTGCCCAATGTGCAGTTAATAAGAGGCACGGTCAGAATTCAAATCCAAGCACCTTAGCCCCAAAGCTCCTGTTCTTTGATGCTTTTAAAAACACATCTGCCATCAAAGAAATTTTCAAGTATTGCAGTGTAAAAATGCGAGTTTACCAGGAAAATCAAAGGTTTAGTTTAGTTGGTGGAGTCTCAGTGAAAGATTCCATACAGCTTAACACACTGATTTATCCCTGGTAAAGTGAGGTCAGGGAAAAGGAACACATATATACAGTAGTTATCCTACGGATTTCTTTCATTATCCACAAACCAGCCAGCCAGGCCAAGACTTTTTTATTTCTGTACTGGAATTGAACCCAGGGTTTCAAGGGCAAGAAAGTAAGTTTGTGTACCCTCCAGAATCCTTCTGAAAACTCTCAGTTGGTATGGACCTTGGTGCTTCCACAGTTGTCCCCAAACTGGGCACCACGTTCAGTTTTGTAACTGTGCTGGCTGTACATTTGCGTCACTGAATGAAAAATCACAACAACTGGATTGCTTATTTCATACGTCATCCTTCTCGACACAATACACTTAACTAGAACTCTTAACTAACTATGTAATTTATGCATTTTTTCTAAATAAATTATAGGTTATTTGGGAGGGGCTACATCATGTATACACTTTATATTTACCCCCAATGCTATATTCTCAGCAGGCACTAAATTAATATTGTTGGATGAACAAAGGAGTGGATAAGGTCAAGAAAATATATATTTAAAACTTATTATAAATGTTCCCTAGGATGTCATAGTTCCACCTTAAGGAATGGTAGAAATAGAATAAATGAGTTTCCTAAGTTCTTCTCAGGGTAAGTCATTTATTGAAAGTCAGATTTGTATAACACTAACAGGGGTCATTCTAGGACAGATTTGTTCTTTTTATCTCTCTCTATATTTTGTATACCCAAACATATGGCTATACTAAACATTTAACAATAAAGTTTGAATACTTTATAAAAGGTTTTAGAGTCTCCTTTTAAGTTTCCTGTAACGGAATCTAGCCTTTTTTTTTTAACTGACAGAAAGACTGTGTATCTTTTTAACATTCTGATAATGTTCTCTGCAACTACATTTTGACTACATGTATTACCTGCCAAGGTCAGTGTGAAAAAAATTAGAGAAGGCATTATTTTTTGGCAACATATTGAGAAACACAGGAATTTCGCTGATTTTCATTTGAGCAGTAATTGGGGAAGACATTCCAGAGAATTCCTTAACCTTATTTTAGTTACAGTCTCATTTGTTGCGTTTATTAGAACATATTTGCTGAACAAAATGATTACATTATTGTGGAAGTTGGTACGTGTACATAATACATCTCAATTCTTTTCATTTCCTCTTGTTCTCCTTTCCTTCTCTCCTCCTTCCTCCTCTAGACTCCCTTCCCATTTGCAGAGGATTTATCTCTTCTTTCATATTATCTGTCTTTTATTTTGCTCATTAAATTATTGTACTTTGGGTTTCTCATATGAAAGAAACCACGCAATATTTGTTCACTAAAGAAATGTAGGATATTGACTAAATAATTATGGTATATCCATAGAATGGATACTAGGCAGTTAAAAAATAAAGAAGCTCTTCAATTATTACTCTATGATAATTGCCAACATATGATACGTGAAACAAGCGAGGTGTATATATAAAGTCCACAAACTTTTGATTATGATCCCTCAAGTATAAAAGATTTATGCTCAAAATATCAAAACAATACCAGGATACAAAAATATAACCTGGGAACAATAGTGCACACTTTAACGCCAACTACTGAGTGGGCTAAGGTGGAAGGACTGCAAGTTCAAGGTCATCCTGGGCAACTTAGCAAGACCCAGTCTCAAATGATTGAAAAAAGGCCTCCAGATATATAGCACAGTGATGGAGTGTTTTCCTAGCATGTGTGAGGCCCTGTGTTCGCTCCTCATTACACACACACACACACACACACACACACACACACACACACACAATACACACATACATGTAAAACACTGTAGTAATTTATTTACGAACTAATAAAAACCTGAGCTTGGCTGGCAGCTGTAAGAGCAAAGAAGAGGGAACCATGAAGACTGGGAAAAAATAGCAGATATCTGTAACTCCTTTGGGTGGAGAGATGCAGGACCATGAAAAGTCACATGTGCCCTCATGACTGGAACTCCAAAGGGCAAGAGAACTTGTTAAGGAGGAAAGAAAAATAATGAGTTCACTAACTGGTTTTATTACTCACTCTGGTTCATCCATTGGCCTCCACTCCACATAGTGATAGAGTCTTTGTACATTTTTCAGCCACTCCCTGAGTACTTCGGTCGTATTATCCACATTGTGATCTGTGGCTGCCCTGCAGGGAAAAAGGTACAAGATAGTTAATATGTCCTCAAAAGAAAGGAGGAAATCCTTACTAAAAGTTCTAGAGGAAAATTATATATATGAAAAATTATTTCCTCATGGTCTAAACTACACAATGAATTTTTGAACGGAGAGATACTGCTTAATACTACTTTTGTGTCATTAGGGCCTTAAACAGAATCCAAAAGTGGTTGTATTAATAAACAGACACATGAAAACATAAATAGCATAAGCATAAAAATGAGCTAAGCTAGATGAGTTATTAAGTCTTAGAAATTTTGCTACTTGCTTTACTTTTTGGTTACCCAAGACATAAAGCCTACCTTATAACTTTGCTAATAATAACCCCCAAATGAAGCAAAAATTCAGCTGTATTTTCAAGTCAGTGTTCCAGTCATGACAAAATATCTAGTCAAAGCTGTTTTAACTGTATGTATGAGAGGAGAAAACCACAATATTTTTTCATATAAAACTTGAAATCTAAGTTATCTATTTTGGATTAACTTTACCTTACTACAAAATAGGGTGTCTTCAAAACTCTTCAAATAGCATATACAAAACTTGTTTCTGTGCTACCTTGAAGATTTAATACATGAATCCACTTGTAAAGGGGTTTACCGCCAATGAATTATCTTTAAATCATAGCACAAAGTAAAACCTAATTCCATGCTGTATATGAAATTTGCACACATTCAACATTAATAAAACTTTAAAAAGGAAAGAAGGAAGGAAAAGAGTGAAAGAGGGAAACAGAAAAGAAAGAGCTATGGGAAGATAGCGGTCCCCAAGACCCTAAAAAGGAAGCAAAAGTGCTGAGATAGTATTGGGAATTCAGCTCCTCCTGGGTGGGAAGCTAGTAGGATTATCAGCAGCTGTGGCTCCTTGGAAGCAAGGGCCCGGATGAGAGGAACACAGAGAGATGCACGGTAGGGACTTCTTCCATAGATGGCAATGTCAGCAAGTAGGATTTTGTTACACCCAGTCCATAATGGCTTTTCTGCTCTTCTCACTTAGGCTTTTCTTCCAAAAGTAATTAAAATCTTTAAGGGGGAGAATGTTCAGGAATGTTGAAAAGAAAAAAAATGTTAAGCAAAGCAGTGAAATTTAGATAAAGAATAAAATTCTGCAAAACACCAAGTGACCTGCAACTATGTAGCTTATGTCACAGGTACAGAAAAGTGGGGACCAGAGGTACATAACTAATATCTGAAAATCTTACACTGCAAAATAAATGCATGGATTAAAACTAGCCTTATTAGAAATATTATTCAAAAATTGAGAGATGACAGCAATGGCCAACGTTAAACTACTTTCAAGTCTCCTCTTGAGACTGGATTAGAGCCAGCTCCTCCCTTCACAAGTTCTAAAGGGGAGACAGACCTATGGGCCTCCTGGGAACCCATTACCTGGAGAGGAAGAGAAGTGGCTTGTGGAGCGGGTGGCATTGCAGGACACCAGGTGAGCATCTTAGCACAAACACAGGGTAGTAAGGAGCCCTGGGCAACTGAAGGAGGTGGGAAAGTGCCCAGAAAGCAATGTGGAAGCGTGTCATTGTGCCAAGAAGTGCAGCGTGTCTGCCAGCATCTCGCCCCGGAGACATACGGCCACATGTTACAAATGCCCAGCACAACAGGAGTCCACAGAAGCACTGTGAGCATCAAGCCTCAGGTCTCAGGAAATGAAGCACAAAGAGAGCAATTCCTGAACTTCGGCACTAGCTCCAGGGCACATCATTCTTTACTCAAAATATTATGAGTAGGGGTAAATTAAAAAAAGAACTCTTTTTTTCTTTTCTTTTCTTTTCTTTTTTTTTTTTTCTTTTGTCTTTTTGAGACAGGGTCTCGCTATGCAGTTCAGGCTGGCCTTGAGCTCACATTATAGCCCAGGCTGGTCTTGAACTAGCAATGATCCTCCTGCCTCAGCCTCCTGAGTGCTGGGATTACAGGCGTGCGCCACCATGCCCAGCCCAAATCTTGAATACAATGTTAGCCAAAGGTTATTAACATTCTAAATCATTTCTAAATTATTTATAAATAGCCTAAGAAAATTTCTTTTCATTGGCTGTGCATTACATAGGACTTAAATTTTCTTTGCTCTCCCTAGGCCTAGATACATTCCTAATCCTTTTGCAAAAGTTGGTCTTATTGTAAGAAATATATTTTCCTGGTGTACAAATTACATAAATTCCAAAACCCTGCCTGATGACATCCTCAAAGATTAGCTGCTTGGAATCTGTAGAGATAACATTTGTCTAATTAAAAATAGAAAACCAGATTTAAAATACTCCTATTCAAGTTAGAAAACTTCCTATCCATTTACTTCCCTGAATTGTTAAGATTTCTCTTTGTTCTCGGGCTTCCTCTGAAATGAATAAATGCTCCAGCTGCAGTTGGAGGGAGATTGTCTCTGCTGTCTTTGATGTCCTACACTGTGTCCCAGAGGAAGAAAAGCAGGGCTGGGCCACCCCAGCCCACAGAGAAAGCCCTGCACCCACACTGACAACCCTTCAACTCCTCCTGGCAATGGGTAAATATGCAGAAATCTGGGCAGACACTTCTAACTTCTGCCTTTTAATCCCTCTGACAAAAATGAGTTTCCGTTTGAATATGTAATAAGGTATGCATGCAGGCTCTGACTGCTCAGAAGGCTGCAGAGAGCGACCCCAAAGACCCAGATGCAGGCTCCCCAGAAGAGACACGGGGTGTGTGTTAACAGTTCTATTTTCAGAGCCCTGCAGAACGAGGCAAGTGAGGTGTTTGTGTGACTACAAGACTGCACAAGCATCCGGACATAGGAAACTCCATGGCTGAGTTGGATTTTTCTATCAAGCTAGGAAGCTGAGTACCCCTAATGTGGGAACACCCTTAGGAGGAGCTGAGGCATCCTGACTCCTCGCTGTACCTGGGAGCTCCAGGAAAACTATTCAGTATTTCCCTCAGATCGCCCAAGCAGAGTAGATTTCTACTGAGCTCCTCTCTCTCTTTTCCTTGGGTCTTTCTGACTCGAGACAGAAAGCAAAGACAACTCAGCCATTGAGCTGTATTCAATTTTCTCCAAAGATTTCCCTTTACCTCTAAAGAGCACCAGGTCTCTCCAGCACAGAGAGGAGGAGCTGTGGCCTTGATATGGCTTCAGGGCTCCTGGTCGGTCTCCTGTCTGTCCATCAGTCCCTGCTTGCCTTCTGTGGGGTTGCAACTTGAAACGGAAGAGCTGGTTGAGACAGGTGCAGCATCCATGTGGCCTCAGAGGGCAGTGTAGGCCATCACTTCCCCTAATGCTGCCCACCTGCTCCCTCCCTGCTTCTAGTTTTGGTTTTCCCTTCTTCCTCTTCTCCAACGATACAAGTGGGCAAAAGCCCATGAGCCTCAGCTTCAAAATCCTATTAGAACAAAAGTGAACACACACTAGATATGTAGGAATATCCCTGATTGATGAAGTTCCTAGGCTAACAGGTACATTGTCAGTGTTAGATAATGTGGAAGAGAACACAGAGAGAAGACAGTAAAGAAGCATGTGTGCAAGACGATACAGCTTTCCTGACGACTGAGGGCTAAAAATATTTTTTTATCTGGCAGTGTCTAAAACAATGACATTTCTCCTTGTTCCAGAAACGCAGTTTTCATTCCTCAGTCTTGGCTTTTAAAACTGATACCAATTTGAAATAATTAGAACTGACTCGTTTATTTTTACTACAAGTCCTACTGCAGGTGTTAGGGCTAAACACATACTGGTAACTGTGAAGCTGCCGGAACCATATTAAAGATGCAGGCTGGATTTCTTAGCATATGGAACATGGGTACTGAGGACATGGTACTCCTGACCTCTTCCATTTGCAGTGAGCCTCAGAGATTGTTCTTGGCTTCCCTGTTGCCCCAGGAAGTCTAGACCTCTGGGATTAGAACAACAGCACTGCAGTTGATGGGGCAGGAAGATGGCAACAGCAGGTAGCAGCTGGTCTTTGCTGCCTAAGAATGTGCAAAAGTCACATGTCAGAGGCTCAAGGCAATTGTGATAGAATGGACAACAAAGTGAGTCACCACCTGGACAGTTCCCACCATGACTAGCGAGTTGGCAAGAGTAAAGTTTCCAGCTGGAGACTGCAAACACCGAACTACCGTCTTAAGTGTTTCTTGTTTTCATCCAGCTGGGAAGACTCACTGAGGTAGAAAATAAAGATCTCCACCTAAAAATAAAATTCCACTTGTGGATGCGGCTAGTGAAATTCATTTTCAAGAAAGGTCATGAAATCAAGTCCCACCATCTCTGTGTCTGAGCTCAGGAAATACCTCTTCCGCAGCAAGTCTCACAGGGAGAGACGCACACAACCGTTGGGCAACACATGCTGATTGATTCCTGCTGTCTGGTTACTAGGTAGGCTTCTAAAGACCTAGAACCCACCTGCTGGGTAGAAATTAGATACGGACATGCTTAGGATACAAATATGGATTAAGAGCTTGGGATTTCTTTTATCAATTAGTTCCAATTTTTCATAACTAAAAAAATCAGAAAAACCTATTAGTTGTTAGACTAAAAAAAATCAATGTTTGTCCCCTTCCCATATCTTTTCTCAGTATGCCCCTTTGATTCCAAAAAAAAAATCAAAGACACAACACATTTGAAGCCTTGGTCAAGTGTGTGCACAAAGCAGTATTTCATTCTGAATATCCATGCCACCAACTAATCAACTACATTCCCAAAGGACAGGAATATTTCCTAGTGATAAAATTTGCTGTTTGACCAGCTGCCTGGCAATTCTTAACCCCAAAACCATTTTATGAAAATTGAGATAGACTTAAACATATTTCAAGTAGCCATTTTGTGATGCTTTTGATTCTGAGCTATATCTTGCGTCTCATCACGTTAAGAACACCTCAGTGTTCCTGTCTTGCCCTATGACTAGCTGAGTTATGCACTATTTTCATTCCACCAATTTTGGACTTTTGGGCTGGGGATTTAGCTCAGCGGCAAAGCACCTGGCTGGCAAGTGCAAGG